GTTCAAACATTAGAAGCTGGAGGAGGAAGAAACCACCTGTCAACTTCAAAGTGGAAAAGACAGCAATAGTATGAAAAAGTTGCCTCTCAGTATAGATTCTGCAGGGAGTGCATTTCTCTATTATTTCAATTATTACAACTTCCTGGATAGGTTGAAGGTCATTCATAATTCACACTTCTGTCACTTTTAGACATGCCAAATGCAGTCTATAGAGCATAAATAAAACTTCCAGTGTTTGACCAGGAAAAGTAAATGGAGATTCATAACAATGAGGCCTTGTTCATCTTTTTACAAGTAAATGATATGGTTTTTCTCTTTCTTGCTTTTCCCTTTGCACACTGAATTTTTCTTCTGTCTTGATAGTACAAACATAGTACTTTAAACTGATCCAAGACTAGCAAACTAGACGGTAAAGTTTGATTTGAGAGATTCTGAATTTTTTTTCTATGGGATAATAAAGAAGAACACACTGTATTACCTTTTATAAATACATCTGGTAAACTCATTAATTTGATGGAGGATTTGGGTAGACACAGGCCTTGACAATGTAAAACACAACTAGTCTGGAAGTCTTTTACGGCCTATCAGCTTCCCCATCAAGATGGCTATGAGGGTCTATTTGCTCTTCATGCTGTCTTTTTGAACTAAAATAACTAAATAAAATGGATATTTAGTGACACATGCTTAATTTTGATTAATTCCAACTGTGTGTAAAATTTATATAATAGTATATGATTATTTATATATTATATCTATTACTAGTTAGTTTTAATCATATTATTAAAAGCATTAATTTATTTTACATATAATTTTATATAGAAATGAGATTGATAACACTTTTTGAAATATTAAAAATTTCCCAAAAGATATAGTTTATATACGTATATGTCATATGTAAAATATATAATATGTCTAAGCACACATGTATTTATATATACCATTGTATAAAAATGTTCCTTTATGGAGTGGAATAGACATTCTGTTTGCATTTGAAACAAGTTTTAGAGTTTGATTAAAATGAGTAAAGTGTAATAATTATGTTTAGATTATTCAGTTCCTATCTACATGTATAATATTGTATTTATGCAGTAAATTGTAAACTTCACCAGTAGTAAAAGTGTATAGTTTTGGAATTTCTAGTAGAATTTTTCAACTATCCAAATGATAACTTTTTAAAAAAAATTCAGAAATTTTATCAATGCACTTTATTAATATACTTTGAAAATAAAAGACTATGAATAGATCTTCCATTGGAACATTTACTATAAATTTTTTATAAATTGAGATATACAGAGAATGAAATATAATATCCATGCTTCCAAATGTAGTTTTCTGGACAAGTAAAAAAAAGTTTAGCAAGTATTAGGAAGTTATTATTTGATAAAATGAAAAGACTATCTCAATTTTCAAAAGTTTCAAGTATTTGGAGAGTTGGGTCATGTTTATAACATGTTAGCATTATCTTAGCATTAGCTACCAAATAGAAAACTCTGGAGGAGTCAACACTTTTTCAAATATTTATTATAACTTTTTTTGAAAGATAGACTTCACATATAATCCATTGTCATATGTTATAAGGACCCATTCCTCTAATCTTTCTTTGGGGATAATCGAGTTTTTTCCTTTTACTGGAGCATTCTGACAGAGTTAGAAAATAATAAATCAAAAACTCTTTTGTATCAATTCAAACTTTTTCAAAGTGTTTGAGATTTTTTTAGTCTGTCCTTGAGGCGAATTCATTACAAAATTTCAGATCCAGGAAGTTTTTATTTTGGATCTAGATAACTTTTTCCACAGAACTCCAATGGGAAAGGAGACCTATTAACTCTTTTACCAAATTTAACAATTATTGACTCTTTTCCATTTTCTCCAACACAAAAACCAGAGTGGTTATACTAATAGCGTCTCTGCTTCTGGTTCATAACTCAGCTGACACATGACTTATAGAACTGTCTGTCATACAGCTGAGATTTTTGGGAATACACTGATTTTTAAAGATATTACATGCAGATCTGTAAGAAAACCTATAAGTTACTTGTGTTTTTATTGGCTGAAAGATCTCATCTATAACATAAAGCATAGATACAATATTTTCTGAAAGATTTGATTCATCCAAGATTATATCCCATGAAATTGTTTTGAGGCAAAAATAATTGTCATTTCATTTTAGTTTAAATCTCTGTTCTCACCTCTAAAATGCTTGCCAGTATGTTCTTAGTATTGTTAGAAAGCAAACTAAATTTATATGTAGGATCTCTGGATTCGAGTACTCAGATTATACTTTTGGGCTATTGTAATTAGAGGAGGAAATCAAAATTTTACTTAAATGTTTCTAAGATCTTAAAGAATGAGAGATAATGAAGATCAGAAGTGGTAGAAACACCTTGAGTGAAGGACTAGGTCTGTAGGGTGTGGTAGACAGGACTTCGAGGCGCATTCTTATTGCTATATGGGGAACCATGCCCAGAATCTGCCCTCATTATGTCTGGTGCTTGCCAGTTCTTTTCAAACCTCAGTTTCATGAGCACCATAAAAATTCACTTAAAATCGAAAAGAACACCCTGAAGTTAAAATCCACTCTGCTTTGCCTTGCCGTTCATGGCCTGGAATGTCACCTTTTACCTTCAGTAAATAAAGCCAACATCAACACTCTTCCGTGTCTTTTATTTTTTATGCACTCAATATTCTTCACATGACAATCTGGACACTTAAAGGGAAATTACAGTAGTAATCTATGTCCCTGCAAAGAGAATTGTCTTTATAATATATAGTTACAGGGTGTCCATCATTGTCTTTTGTTCCATAGACTGTTCACATTGGATTGAGTAAATCTAAAATGGAATTAAAAGAGACATGATTAATAGGGGACTACAAAGAAATAATGATATCATAATACTTTCTTAAAATGATCTGGCATGTGTGTCTAAGTAGCATTCCCTAACAGAGACAATTGCACTGTCTTGCAAGCTATTGTGTCTTTAACCTTACCATTTCCGAGAAGCCACCGAAAAGTCCTAATATGTCACAATTCAAATGTCAACATGTTGTTGGAAAGGAAACTAATAAGTTAAACCTGTAAGAGATGCCAAAAAAAGAAGTGATTCAAACTGTTGAGAGCAGTCTATTGTTTTCTAAGGGGAAATAAAATTCTAGAATGAAACAGGGGTACACATTAACTGTAAGGTTTAGGGGGAGAAAAGCAAACTCACACATCATTTTTGAGCAGATCTATTCCTCTCAGTGCACCTCCAAAAAGGGAAAATGTGAAGGTTAGGCATTAGATTCAAATTGCAAGTTTGCTGTTTTTTTAAACAAAATAGAAATAGCATATAACAGGAGCAATTTTCTTGATAATCTGGAGTCTATCTTTGGATAGATACAAAGACTCTTAGGCTATATTTTAACATCATATAGCAACACTTTATGTTTGGCACTGTTTTCTGAAAAGGAATCTAAGGTGGGAAAGCTATATTGAATGAAAAAACTTAATTCATCTTGAAAAGAAACTAAACAGAAAATACTCCTCATCACGGTATTTTTCAAATTTACCACAATTTCGTGCTCTGGTCTTTTATAGAAAAACAAACAATTGGACTTCAGAGCCACCTACTGGAATAAAGAGGCATATACTGATGTTTAATAGACTCAGCTTCTCAAAAGATAAATAAATAGATCAATACAAAGTATGAGCATGTCTGTTGATCTTCTAAGACATTAATTTGCCCAGTTTCTGTTTGAAATATTAGATGGTCCTATAAGATACCATATTTACAGCAGTGTCTTCTAAGAATTAGAATCTGTTTTTTTTTTGGCTCACCACACTTGAAATTTTGTACATGAATAACTTAGTAAGATGATTGGGGGAAAAAATCTCATCAGTGATATGAGAGAGAAGATACAAGGCAAAGGAATAATCTCTTTCTCAGGATATTGTAAGACTTTACAAAAATGCTATGAAAGAAGGTAACTGGTCTCATTTCCATTAGTTAATGGTACAACTTCATTCTTTCTTCCAAAACCTCTATCTGTTTATGGAATTGTTTAATAAAGTTAGAATAGAATGAAAAAAAACTAAGAACATTCTTGGGTAAGATTAGTAAACATCTTAAGATCTTTATGCTTTAATGCTTTTATAAATGAAAGAATGATGCCTGGACATTGGGCAATGCTTGTGTAAGTTTTCTTGCTGCTCTGGGAAAAATAGGCAGCTTTGGGAATTTTAGGTTGGGTTCTTTCCACACTTGCTGTACTGCTTTTCAGTCAGTCAGTAACAGATTTATTAAATCCTTCCTCTCTTCAGAACTTTTCTAGAAAGCAAGGGGCGTAGCTCTACCACCAACAACTTGATAAAAGAATCAATAAGAGGAATAATGCTTGCTTTCAAAGAGTGCCAACAGAAGCTGGGGCAGGAGAGCAGGCAGGGATATGCAAGCATTCATCCAATTAGTGAGAGAGGGAGTCAGTTTTTAAAAACCAAGATACTTTCCTATGATTCTGTTCTCTTGCTGATTCCTTATGTCACATTCTTCCAACCTACTCCCCTTGGAACACCTTGAAGGTGGTACTTTTACTAACTTGTTCACAGGGGACGGCTCAAGGTTAGCAAGGCTACTGCTGGATATTGCAAGACAGGACTCAGCTCCACGTGGGTGGTTTGCTAGGTGCTTTGAGGAATTCAGAGAAGGGCAAGCTCCTTGTTAATAGTTACAGAGAGTACATGTAGCACAGCAGGCCTCACATCAAGAAAATTTGATTTGTGAAGTTAGCAAGATTTGGAAAAGATTTATGAACTGGCTTGAGAGTCATAGCTTTCCATCTTTCACCAAAAGGTTCTTTTTTTCAGTATACAAAACAGAAATCACCATTTTATTTGATTAAAAATAAAAGGAACAAGTTTATTAAGATATGAAAAAATGTCTGGCTATCTTAATGTATATCCTGTCCTTTTCTAACATTCACTTTTCTGTCTTCCTTGTCCCACCTTTCTTTGGCCTTTGAAGATATTCTATAGAGTAGTCGCAGACATTGCGCCGGGAGAGGAGCTCCTGCTGTTCATGAAGAGCGAAGACTATCCCCATGAAACCATGGCACCTGACATCCACGGTTAGTGCCACTCACAGTGCTGTCCTGTCACCCTCATTTGGTGACTGGAACACAACATCCAGAAGGGTCTGTCACACCTGGCATTTTTTAAATAACTTCTTTTGTTGTACAACATCACTTTTGATAAACTCATTCTCTTGAAATGCCTATTTGCTTGGTTTGACATCTGGCTAATATTAAGGAGAAGCTAAAATAAGCAGAGCTCTTCCCTGAAGTGGGGGGGGGCAAGGGATTATTGAATACTTGAATGAAAACATCACCTTAATTGAGCCTTTTGTCAATGCTTTAGACTAGGAGAATTCTTGTACTCTTTAAGAGTTGTTTCAGAGCACTTGGCTTTTGAGTACTTCCCTAATGCTGGCAGATGTCTCTCCCATCTATTGTTCTATTGCTGGGAAAAGTGTTTCTGTGGGAGTGAAATCCTAACCATCATGACCCTATGGGAAGGAAACCAAGAGAAGAGTACAGAAGAGGAAATTTTAGAGCTAGCAGATTTTTTATTTGCCAGAAGTCTATTCTAAATCAAAAGAAGGGAGATAAAAAAATAATCATAAGTAGGAGTGATGTATTTTCAGATCAAATTAAGGGAAAATTTTGCTTGTGTTTATTTGTATTACTGAGATGAAAATTTAATGATTTTTTCTTTCTCCTTCCTACTCCTCTCTCTTAATATAATGTGACTTGGTTCAACATAATGTAGCAGTGGCTGTAGAACATTTTGTAGTGAGAAGGACCACTGGGAAGGGATACCCATTCCAGTCTACCACAGAGGCCATGATCCTGCATTCCAGAAGGGAGAACCTCAGCTTTTGCCTCTGTACCTCCATGAAGGAAGCTGTCACTATTGGCTGGCTTTCTACTCAAACATTTTTTCCATTGGTTGAGCTATATTCTGCCTCTTTGGAGGGTATACCATTTCTGTTTTGGGTGTCTTTTGGTCTTGTTTTCTTCTTGGAAACTCTAACATGCAAATGGTTTTAGAAATCTAGAGTTCCTAGCTAGCCTGGTAGAGTTCAAGCCTCAGCAGAGAGTCTGACCCAATGAGAAAGGTTACATGGGCAGTGTGGGGTGTTTAAATGATTAAAAAAATATGGGCTTCCTGTTGTGTAATACATATTCATCTGTGAGTGTGAAATCTAAAATGTTTTTAGAGAGTTTTAAGCAAATATATAAATGATTAATTTACTCCTCCCATAAGATCTAAATAGACTTAAGTAACTATTCCTCTTTACAGCTGCCATTCATAAATTGCCTTCCTTTTAAACATTCTCCAACTATTAGTTGGTTTGTTTTCAAAGATTTATATCCATATTCATCTATATACCATATACCAATATGTAAGGCTTATAATGCTTACATGGTGATTTGCATTTTGTATTTCTAGGATTTACTGTAGGAAAAGAAAATAAAACACATGCATTTCACACTTTATGCTATATATTATACACTTTACAAATCTCATTAAATCTTATACATAGATAGAACCTGAGAAAATGGAATTATATCTATGTAATAAATAGGAAAACTGAGGATAAGTAAGGCTAAGTAAATGTTTAATAAGAAGTGGAGTTAGCATTCAAAGTATGGTCTTTTCTGTCTCTAATACCTAGGCCTTTTCCAAATATTATGTGGCCTGGAGGTTCTGTTTCTGTTTGGACTTCCGGCTGAGATTTAAATATGGATTTAAATATATGATTAGTGTTACAAACTATAGGAAATGTTTCCTTTAACTAGTAAATATCACTGAGATGTCTGTCTCCAGAGCTGGGGTGATTTATTTTTGAATGCCTCCTTCTTCCTTAGCTCTCTACATCCAGAGTTGACAAACTGGAATTTACACACTTAATTCCTTTACTTGTGGCCTCACTGTTATTAGTGTAGTTTAAAGTAGACCAGTACCCTTGGTGGGTCCCATTGGGCCTCTCTGCTAGGCTTGTCATACTGCAGCTAAGAGAAATTCTTCAAAAAACAAAGCCTGAGTAATCTCTGCTTTCCAATCTTGGTGACTTTCTGTTCCCTCTTAACATGGCTCCAAAAGGCCCCTAGTGACCTGCCCCCCCAATGATATTTTCCATTTCTTCCTTTCATGAAACCTATAAACCCATCATACTTTGCTTCAGCTTTACCTTGCTTTGAATGTGCCAGGTTCTTCCTCATGTCCATCATTAGTCCATGCTGTTCCTACTGTCTGAAATGTCTCCCCGCACTTCACCTGCCTGATTCTTACTCATTCTAAAGCCTTTTCTAAGCCAAGCATAGGTGGATTAGGCATGTTCCTTGCAGCTCCCTTGGACTTATGCATGCATCTGTCATAAAATATAGCATTTATCTCCTTCAGTTTCTTATGTATTTATTCCCTAGCACAGTGCTTGACATTTTGGAGATGACTGAAACATTTCCTCAAAAGTATTTAGTCAATGAATAACTGAAGAATAACATCTTCTTTGGCTATAGGTCTACAAAGCAGCATAGGTGCCGTGTATTTGCTGTATGTGTTTTTCAGCATCATGAGCTGTTTTCAAGGGTTCTGTGACTTTTTCCATATGATCTGTGCAGAGTATGGGCTCATAGCTATGGAAATAGAGTAGAAACAATACCATCCCTACCCAACAGCCTGTAACTTCATTATCTCTGGTCTCCACTACTACCATTTATTTACCTTATTGATTTAAAGTGCAAGTTCATAATATGTTTGCTGTTTACCAAAGCTTTGTCAATTAGCACTGGCCCTGGGGTAAGATAAATTACCCTTGAAGGGTACTAAAAACATCCTGTGTTCCATTCTAAGTGATGATGGATATTAAAGCATTGCCAGGTTTACTGAGAGTAAAAGGCTTAAGCATATCCCAGCTGGGGCCTGTGTGTCCCACAGGAGGAGTGTATGGAGCAGAGATGAGTTCAAATCCTGATACAACCTCTTGGCTTCAACTGAAAATTGGGAGAAAAATCAGGCCTATAATTTCACACACTCAAGGGTTTAAGGAATATCAATAATACATAATACAATAGATGATGATCAGTAAGTGGTAATTATTTCTAATGTCCTCTGAATCTGGAAAAGTTTAATCAAAAAATTTTATCTGATCAGAAAGCTATACTGTAATCATAGTAATATTTATGTTTTCCTTCCAGATTCTCTCTGGGGTTCTTTACGTATATTATTTCTACTCCACGTTAAATTGACACAGTGGAAATGACAATCAAATAGTTTCAATTATGTCTTGTATATCTCAATTAAGACATCTGATTTATGGCAGCAATTCCTGACCATGCAATTCTAGTTAATCTGGAATTGTTTTCACAGAAGAACGACAATATCGTTGTGAAGACTGTGATCAGCTCTTTGAATCCAAGGCTGAGCTAGCAGATCACCAAAAGTTTCCATGCAGCACGCCTCACTCAGCATTCTCAATGGTGGAAGAGGACTTTCAGCAAAAACTTGAAAGCGAGAATGATCTCCGAGAGATACATGCCATCCAGGAGTGTAAGGAATGTGACCAAGTTTTTCCTGACTTGCAAAGGTTAGAAATGGCATGTTGCCCATAAAACTTGTGTGTTTACTCCACAAGAAAATGTTATGCTGGATCTTGAGCATGTAATGCAGTTGGGAAATTTGGAACTACAATGAACTCGACAGATATGCTAGTGACATGCTCAGAAATCATTCCCCCAACCCCTTTTCCTGGAAATTCTCATCTGTAAAATATTTACAGTGAAGTTAGAATTAGTTACTTTGTTTTCAGAAAACAGTATGCCATATTATTTTACATTAATTAATTTTTTGTAGTGCCTTGTATATGCTATGCAGGTGCCCTACCACTGAACTAAACCCCTAACCCATGTATATTATAATTTAAGTGTTATTGGAAACTGAAGGCTTAACTTTACAGGGAATGGTGACTTAGAGAAAAAAATCCAGAATGCTTGAAGAAAATTGGAGTCAGATGCCAGGAGATAGCTACCTCTAGAAACACTTAGATGAGAAAAAAGAAATTGATCAAATACTCAACAAAAGATAGATAAATCTTTTAATAGAGCAGTGTAATGTATACATTTAAGTTGAACTATTTACTTAAACTGCTCATATATATAAAAGAATAAGAGAATGTTCAGTTTCCTAGTATTGCATTTCCAGAATGAAAAAATATAATTATGATAATCTAAATGATATTATTCTTTAATATTTACTTTTAGGAAAATGAAAGTCATATTTCAATTATATGTTTACGTTTTTATCACCTTTTGAATTTAATTCAGGAACATTAAAAAATTCTGTTGAAGAAGACAACAACCCTGGAACCTACCCTTTGAAAGCTATGTTGATAATTTTGCCATGAATTGCTTCTTTAAGATCAGAGAAGTAAATTGCCAGCTAATAGGTTTTTGTTTGTTTCTACCTAATGGTTTTTGCCTTGGTCCACAAACAATTTTAATAATTGTATTTGTTACTTTGCTTTTAAATCTGGAAATGATCATTGGAACATTTCCAGTAATCAGAATTTCAAGCGAACATAACATCATTGTGTTTTGATGGGAATGGGTAGCGTAACAACTGGCCTTACTCAAGACTGAATTGCTCAGAGTTGGTCTTTGACAACAACACCTATTTCAATTTACCATTTTTTCCTTTCTTTCCTCAGTGTTACCTTTTCCTCTTTCTTTCTACTCCATTCACTGGTCTGCATTGTCTTCTCCTGGTTAAGTCTCTTTAGGAAAAGGCTGCCAAATCTATCAATTAGTACTAAATTCTATGAAAAGTGGAGAAGTCTCAGTAATGATTGACTAGATTGCTTCTATATTTCTGAATGCAATGTACACCTGTGTTAGTGAGAGCTTGTCTCTTCTCCCTTCTTTTTTTCCATCACTGACTAAGTGACAGTTGATAATGCCATGGAACGATATGGATTTTATACCAGATTATAAAAAGCAAAGAAAGAAAATTCCCTTTGCTTTGCTATGTCTCCTCCATGTACTCATAATATTCCCCTAAAACCAAACCTTGGAGTTAGGAGAAGGAATAAAACTCAAAAGATAGGTCAATCTTTTGCCACTAGATTTCAGAGGTTATGATTTGACATACAGCATATTGGAATATGTGTCAGAAAATGGCTTGTCCTCATGGGTTACTTAGGGTAGATAGTGAGATTTGGGATCATACAATGACTTTGGAGTATGTCCCCAACTCTGTTCAGGGTTAACTGCAGTTATTGATATCTCTCTTAACTCTTTTATTAGCATTTCAACTTCTGTAACAAACAGAGGATTACATATTGTAGATAAAGATAGGGCCTTTCTTATAACTGCACACACCTGTTCCCTCTTGGTACCTTGTGTTTATAGAGATATCGCCACTTGTGCTCAGATAGAATAGCATTTCCAGCTTGACTGACTCATAGGGCACAAAAATAAGTTCATGTGCCAATATGAATAGAGCTGTAAAGAGGAAGCTGATGAAGAAAAATAAGTGTGAGAAAGGTATTTCTAATTTACTGAGATACAAAAGTGAACTCTTTATTTTCTTACACATACCTCTGCTTACACACATGCACTGGGGAATGTATTCTTGGTGCACAGAGGTCTTAACTGTTATTCAAATGTAGGCTATTCATCTCACAGAGAAATAAGACATGGAAAGAAAGAACACTTACAAGCTTGGTAGTTGTGTTTTTAAAAACAGCTTTATATTAGGGAATATTTCAAATGAACACATTAGATAGGGATGGTAACAAAAGGCTAGTGATTATTACATGAGGCTGGTTTTATTGCAGCTGTACCTATTTTGGATCATTTGAAACAAATCTTGGACCTTTTGTTATTTTATTTGTAAGTAGTTCAGTATGTACAGAAAGTGAGGATTATTTTTAAAATAATAGTTCAATAGTGTACTTTTAAAAAATAATAATTCCTTAGCATTATCGGATATTCAGTCAGAATTCAAGTTCCTCCAGTTACCTCATAATTTTGAGAATTAAGATCAAAATAAAGGCCATGCAAAATAACTGCTTGACAAATTTCTTAGGTCTACTTTAATTTAAATGTCCCTGCAGTCAGACTGACTCTCTCTCTCTCTCTCTCTCTCTCTCTTGCTCTCTGACCCTCTCCTATTACAATTTTTTTTATTGAATACTATAGAAGAATTTTCCTGCAGCATTTTCTCTAGTCTTGATTCTGTTGCTTATATGTCACTGGTGGTGTTTAACATCTTTCTCCATTCTGTCCATATTCTTTAAATCCACAGTCACGTCCCAAGCCTTAGTTGGGATTTAGGTTCAATGTTCTATTCATTGAATGTTGTCATTTACTTCCATTAGGAGATATGTAATGAATTGCCTGGATTTATTCATTCTTTAAGAGCTGCAAAATAATTGTATTCTAGTTCTATCATTCTTTAATCACTCATTATAATGATTAATTCAGTATGGAGAAATTGTTCCTCAATATCTGTTTGGTCACTCTAAAATATAATTTATATAGGAAAATCTGGATTAATTTTCCTTATTTACCAGTTTCCCAAATATTAATTCCCAGCATACTCTAAGGGTGACTGGTGAGGTTGTTTGTGTATTTTGAATCTTATTATTATTACAAAAGACTTGCTGTAACTGCTATTTAATTTGACCCACCATTGGCACCTCTTCACATTGACTTTTAGTTCTTTTGACATCACCTAAAACTTTCTTCCTTTGTACAGTAACAAAATGTTCAGAATCCCCTTTGTGTATTTCATCAGGTCTGAAATGAGCTCTTTCTCTAAGGAACTCTGGTTGCTATCTTCAGGGGGTAGTATACTAGAGTTATGTGTGTATGTAAATACTCAACAAAAATGTTGTAGACATTTGACTATCTCAGTAGTCCATACAGATTTCATATATAAGTTTTAGAATAGAGAGGAACTTTTGAAAAGGAAAAGCACTGTAAACTTTAAAAATGGGTAAACTATCACATGACAAACTTTTAACCATGCCTCCTTTTCCTTTAAATGCCTTAAGAATGCATCTACTTAAATATTATACACTTTCTAATTCATTGGCTTTATCTATCTATCTATAACTGTCTATCATCTATCTATCTATCTATCTATCTATCTATCTTAATCTCCTCATATCTCATTTTATCTGTCCATCAATCCATCCATCCATCCATCCCAGGGCCTCTTTGAGATGTTGTTTGTTGAACAGTTAGCTTGCAGCTCTCTTTTCCAATGGTGTCATGGATAGAAATATTAACACTTCTCTCATCTAGAGGTTACATATATATATATATATATATATATATATATATATAAAACGCAGAATGCCTGCCTATATGTTCTTCAACATTTTCTGTTGGCGTATTTGTATTTGAGTGAAGCAGATATCAGCAATATGTGTTGCTGTTTAGAATTGTGTTGTGAATCCAGAACTGAACAAATATCTCATTGTTTATCATTCTCCTAAATTGACAGATAATCCTTGCTACCTGTTTCAGACTTATTTTCTGCTAACAAGACCATGTCTCTGTACTGGTATTGAGACACAGACTAAGAAACATAGAGTGTTATTTTGGTCATTTTGTCTGTAACAAGCCTATTTCTCCTCTTCTTCTCACCTCAATTTATTTTCCTTTTTAATTCTTTAATTGCCAGTTGGATTAGGAATAAAATAACAGTCTGTTTATAAATGTGTTTCTTGTCATCATGTCTTCTTAAATCAATTGTTCTCTCAACAGCTTGGAGAAACACATGTTGTCACATACTGAAGAGAGAGAATACAAGTGTGATCAGTGTCCAAAGGCATTTAACTGGAAGTCCAATTTAATTCGCCACCAAATGTCACATGACAGTGGAAAGCACTATGAATGTGAAAACTGTGCCAAGGTACAGTGAATTTGTAGGCTACTTGGCCTCTGTCATCCTGCTCTCTCTTAATCCATCATTTGCTACGATATATGAAAACAAGCCATGAGAGGGGAAACTATAAATATCTTGAGAAAGTAGACTGAGTGTTGTATGCTAAAAGGCATTAGTAAAGTGTATAAAAACACTTAGTGGGTATCCTTTTATTTTTGTAAGGGAGGAAGTGAGGCTTAATGGTGAATTCTAGCACTACATGTCTGACATCCTTGGTAAATTCTTGGTTCCACCACTGACTTCTCCAGTGTGAGGTTGTTTTATAGCTTCACAGGGAATGGAAATCTTATCCCATGCACATCACTGCTTTCTTTTAATAGCAATTTGTGAGGAAGTCACATAAAGTTTCTGAATGTCTATTCAGAAAGAACGGGAGACTGCTACATTTGTAGGTTTTTCCAACGAAGTCTTCTTTGAGAATCATGGCTTGGTTCTAATTGAAGTGTAGAGCCTCTGTTATAATGACCAGTATAATGAAAGTACTCCACACAACTTTTGATTTTCATGTTTCTTAATTAACTCAAGGATGTCCTGATATAACTAAAGTTGCTTTTTGTTTCCCAAAACTTTTAATAGCATTTGGATAACTTTTCTATTGCAAGTGGAAATTGTGACATTTGAAACTATGTTTGTGACATTTGAAACTATCCCTAAAGATAATTGTTGAGTGACTTTCCATTTTTTCTTAGTACAGCGTTCAAAGGGATAGTTTTAGTTTGCTGGTACCTTTCTGAAATACAGCAAACCCTAGGGAAAATAGATTTGGGTATTTTAGCCAAAATCTTCCACATTTTATATGTACTACATGTTTATTTAAAGGGTTGAAGTAGCATACCAGTTTTAAGAATATCTGGCCATCATTTTATTAGTTAACTCTAGTCACTGTAAATGTGATCAAAAAAACTTTGTGGCCTAATAGTGCCACTCGTTATATTGTCCTGTAAGTGGTACCGGTGATACCAACTGATACTCTATACTAAAGACATAGAGCTGAAAATTTACAGCTTCTTCTCAAGACATTACACTTTGGAAATATGGCTTTCTTTTGGTTTTTCAGGAAAACAAAAATAAAACAAAATTCCTTCTTGAGCCATCCCTGGTCTTCTTTATTGTGTCTTTGAATTAAGTTTCTGGATTAATCAGTACTCATTTCCTAGCAGGTTTTCACGGACCCTAGCAACCTTCAGCGGCACATTCGCTCTCAGCATGTTGGTGCCCGGGCCCACGCTTGCCCGGAATGTGGCAAAACGTTTGCCACTTCATCAGGCCTCAAACAACACAAGCACATCCACAGCAGTGTGAAGCCCTTTATCTGTAAGTTTTTAACACTCCAGCCTTCCTTCCTGCATCTGTCTCTCCTCCAAAAGACACTGTGATCAGGAGAATAGCCACACATGGCCATGGGCGGGGGGGTGAGTCACTGTAATTACTATTTATGGTCCAATCCTGTAGGGTTATTTTCTATTACAAGAAAATCTTTAACAACCAGATCCATCGTATTTTGTCTATAATCCCTGGGGTGTTTTCTTTTAGATGAAATCAGTAACAGGTACAGAAAACAGAAGTTGTTAAATAATGAAAGGAAGCCTCCCCAGGTTGTAGGATTTAATCTAGACAGCCAGATTTGTCTCACACTGTAAATGTTCATGGCTTTGTAAAACAGCAAATAGCAGATATCACTAATCAAGATGAAGTGATTAAAAAGCTGTTCTGGATCAGAAAGAGCTGGAAGAACCCCACCTGGCACTGAGGCTTATGATGCTATGTGTATGGTCTGAGTGTATGTGTGGAGAGAGAGGGGAATAAAACACTCTTTAATCTGCCCACTGTTGCCTCTCACAGGCTGCAGATCAGTAGTTTTCTGTTACTTGAAAAACAGAACATTTTCACTTTGATGCTGGACACGTTGCTTCTCTTACCTACTGCACTAAAACAAATTTGCAGACAGTGGGCTTTCAGGGGACATCCAATCTGACCCCCTGCTTGGAACATCTCTTGGCAGCACTTTAGTAACATATTTCAAGTGAAGTAAAACTCAGCCCTTATGTGCTACTTCTGTCCATTCATGCCTGTTCTCTGTGTTGTAATGAAATATTTCATAAGGAAAATCATTTGTTCTTGGTCTATCTGGGCAAAACTCTGAGTTTCTTTTCTTCTCTTACTTGACTGGGTATATAATACAGGGACTCATTGACTTGTGCTAAAGACTTCAAAAGTGATTTTGGATCTAGACATGGGTAGAATTGGTTGAAGCCTGCTCAGTACCTCTTACTTGGGAACCCATGTAAAAAGAGTTTTTCTGACAAGTACTAGGTATATGAGACACTACTGTTGGAAAAAAACTAATTTTCAGAGCCAACATGGAAATGCCAGAGACTAAAAATCCCATTCTTTGCTTCAACACAGCTTTCTTTTGTGCTTCTAGGCACCTATAGAGCTTTTCTTTCCGTTTCCAGCTTACATCAGAGTCCTGTTTTGCTCAGATATTCTGTTCCTTGGGTGGAGTGAAGAGGACTAGTAGATAAACAAAAGGGTGCTCGAGTCTCCCTTGGGGAAGCTCTGTTGAATTCATGGGAAATGAAGTATACGACAGACATTTCAGACTTCTTGTCTCAAAAAGACGTTCATGACTCTAGGCCACAATGCCTTGAAAACATACTTGGAAGTGCTAAAGACATACAATATTAAATAGTGAATTTATTTCTCTGACTTTTCAGAAATAAATGTTGATAAGTTTTATTATGTTTTGGTGAGGAAAAGAGTGAAATAGATCACAAAGAATTCTGATCACCCATTTAATGCTTTCTTTACTATTTAAAATAAAAGTCAGAAGATAAAGACTTCTATCATCTGAGACTCTGGGATCTGCAATTTTAATTGTGTAGAAATCAAGTATTTTACTTTAAAGTGTCATGGGTTGTCTCTTTCCATTCAGACTGCATAAACATTTCCCATGAATGCATTTTCAGTGATTATTGGTAAATTTAAATAGCAGATGGCATTCTTCAAATATAAAATCTGACAGAGAACCATGGAGTGATTACGAATAATAGCCATGTAATTTTGGAACAAAAGAGTTTAAGGCTTAGGAGTTGGGGTGAAGGACTGGAATGAAGGAGGTTCACCTAGGCCTGATATCTGTTTCTCACCAGAAGGCCACACACCACGATTCACCCCCACTGGCGTGTTTATGGCAACTTGTCTCTTATTACAGTGTGCCGCCAGCTTGAGCCCAGAGAAACCAGTGCTAAGGCAATTACTCAGTGCCTTTACAGGAACCTCCAGCCTTCCCAAATAGAAACCACATGGTCTAATAGACCGAATATATTCAAAATACCTCTTAATTTGTTTAATAAGTAGAAAAATGCAATGTTAACTGTTGGCTAATTCCTTATTACTGAGAAAATTATAGTAGAGTATAGATATATATTCAGTTGAACCAGTTTACCTAGAGGCCTGGTGGTTTGCAGTATTCCAGGCCAAGCCTTCAAATGCTGAAAATAAAGCCTCTGCCTAAGGAAATATCCCAGATTCTATATTCTTGAGACTGGATACATGCTGTTTATCTGTGCAACAAAAGGTCCAACCAGGCACGTCAAGTGCACCTTCTCTTACTACACTACAGAGAAGCTTTGATTCTCTTAAAGCCGTCCAGTTGAGAAAAAGAAGATTAGACAGCAACAATTTAATGCTGAAAAGTTGCAAATCTTTCAGAACTTACACAGTGGTTCAATATTCATCAAGACATTTTCTCAATGTCCTTTAGAACCCAGTGGAGAGAGATGCTGCTTTCTTAATGAGTGCATTTTTATAATTCCAATAATATTTTATTTAATAATTCTTGTTACTGTTCATAGCCAAATTAGTATAATATAATCTAGTGAAAACGTTATGTTTCAACTCCCTCCATCATCAAACTTTCTTAGTGTATCAAATAATCTAAATATTATGTATATTTATGATATGTGATTAAATAGTATATACTTTTAAAACAGAATCTATCCAATATATTCTAGTAAAATGATTTAAAAATAAATCACTCATATCTTCTTTTTCCATTAATATGAATGTTACAACCTCTATCATGTTATGAATCATCCCATAATTGAACGCTTCTTTAATATTAATATGCACATTGACATATGTAGAAATGCAGTTTAGCCTTTAGCAGTAAAAGAACTAGATAAGCAGTCACTTGGCACTTCCTGTTTGGGTGTGTGTGGGATGATCAAACTTCTGGATGAGTTTTGATTGACTGAGTTCTATAAAATCTCTTTTGTGTGAGTTTTAAAAAATTATTATTGCTTTGACTTAGGTGTTCAACCATTCTGCATTTAAAGGCAGCTATCATATGAAAGCAATAAATGTTGCATTTTCTTTAATTTAATTCCTTAAAATCAATTTGTTTCAAAAATTACCAGCAAGATGTATCATATTTCTGCATATATTAAATATGTACAGCATTAAAGTAAGCTCATATACAGAGTAACTCATCCCCAGCAAAGTTAAATAAAAATACGATGCTTAGGAAACTGATACTGTAATCATGCTAGACTGAGAAATGAGTAGGATTCTTACTTAAAAAGAGAACTCTCAAGTGGTTACAAAGTTCAGTCTTAAAGTAAAACTTAGTTATATTGGTGCATATGTGAGGAGGTGACATTCTACTTTATTGACAAATTGTTGATGAAGAGGGACATTTCATAGCTGCACCACTGTTGTGTCCTTTCTGGACCAGAGCAGTCACAGCACTGTCCCTGTTTATCATAGTTGGCTATTACACACACAAGTCAAGCCCAGAGATAACCAAGGAAGATACGACAACAAGTGGACATGTTTCCCAAGGCCAGGGGTTTCATAAATGCAGGAAGGTTAGCACAACCACTGGTGTGAGGGGAAGTCAGAGGACGTGATCATAGTTCATGGGAACCAGCAATGCAGGATGGGCTACATTCAATTCAGTTTCCTTTGCAAGCTTAAAATAGAGCCATTGTAAATTATGTCAGTCTTTCTCAAATCATGAAAATGATTGTTAAAAAAGTCTCAGAATACACAATGTGCATTGTTGTGTGGCTTTGATGTGTGAATGATGAGAGCATATGATATAATACAATTAAATAATGGTAGAGCAGGCACAGGCCTTTTTCCCCATGGGGAGAGGTAATAAAGGTGAAGCTTCTGGTCAAGGATACCTCCAACACAAAATTCTCTATGTGGCATAAAATTTAAAAAGGGCTTCGGTTATGTTTCATCCTTAATATATCTTAATATTTTAATTTTTAAGATGCTACTAGCGTAGCAATGGGGTGGGGAAGAAGCAATGCATGCTGGAATTTGACTGTTCCATAAATATTTAAATACACAAGTATTATGCAAAGTATTGTGCAATGGATGAAAAATATTTTTATAAATATATATGAAATATTTGTGCTGCCTCAAGACATTTGTCAGGTTGGATGCCTTGCTTTGGAATCTAGTGAAATGGAGTTTTCTGTGTTTGGAACACCTAGATTGGTGCCTCCAACTTCTTTTCCTGGCTTCCTAATTGAAATTATTTTGGGTAAACCAATTGTGATACTTGCTAAATTCAGAAGCAATTGCCATAAAGCCTGAGATTCTTTTTTGTTGTTTGCACACAGGTGAGGTCTGCCATAAATCCTATACTCAGTTTTCAAACCTTTGTCGTCATAAGCGCATGCATGCTGATTGCAGAACCCAAATCAAGTGCAAAGACTGTGGACAAATGTTCAGCACTACGTCTTCCTTAAATAAACACAGGAGGTTTTGTGAGGGCAAGAACCATTTTGCGGCAGGTGGATTTTTTGGCCAAGGCATTTCACTTCCTGGAAACCCAGCTATGGATAAAACGTCCATGGTTAATATGAGTCATGCCAACCCGGGCCTTGCTGACTATTTTGGTGCCAATAGGCATCCTGCTGGTCTTACCTTTCCAACAGCTCCTGGATTTTCTTTTAGCTTCCCTGGTCTGTTTCCTTCCGGCTTGTACCACAGGCCTCCTTTGATACCTGCTAGCTCTCCTGTTAAAGGACTATCAAGTACTGAACAGTCAAACAAAAGTCAAAGTCCCCTCATGACACATCCTCAGATACTGCCAGCTACACAGGATATTTTGAAGGCACTATCTAAACACCCACCTGTAGGGGACAATAAGCCAGTGGAGCTCCAGCCCGAGAGGTCCTCTGAAGAGAGGCCCCTTGAGAAAATCAGTGACCAGTCAGAGAGTAGTGACCTTGATGATGTCAGTACACCAAGTGGCAGTGACCTGGAAACAACCTCGGGCTCTGATCTGGAAAGTGACATTGAAAGTGATAAAGAGAAATTTAAAGAAAATGGTAAAATGTTCAAAGACAAAGTAAGCCCTCTTCAGAATCTGGCTTCAATAAATAATAAGAAAGAATACAGCAATCATTCCATTTTCTCACCATCTTTAGAGGAGCACACTGCGGTGTCGGGAGCTGTGAATGATTCTATAAAGGCTATTGCTTCTATTGCTGAAAAATACTTTGGTTCAACAGGACTGGTGGGGCTACAAGACAAAAAAGTTGGAGCTTTACCTTACCCTTCCATGTTTCCCCTCCCATTTTTTCCAGCATTCTCTCAATCAATGTACCCATTTCCTGATAGAGACTTGAGATCGTTACCTTTGAAAATGGAGCCCCAATCACCAAGTGAAGTAAAGAAACTGCAGAAGGGAAGCTCTGAGTCCCCCTTTGATCTCACCACTAAGCGAAAGGACGAGAAGCCCTTGACTCCAGCCCCCTCCAAGCCTCCAGCCACACCTGCCACAAGCCAAGATCAGCCTCTGGATCTAAGTATGGGCAGTAGGAGTAGAGCCAGTGGGACAAAGCTGACTGAGCCTCGAAAAAACCACGTATTTGGGGAAAAGAAAGGAAGCAACATTGAGGCAAGACCAGCTTCTGATGGTTCTTTGCAGCATGCAAGACCTACTCCTTTCTTTATGGACCCTATTTACAGGTAAGAGTGGATGGGAGATGATGGAGTATGAATGGTAGACTTTATACAATGAAGTTGTATCTTTCTTAAAGATGCTTTTTCTTATTATAAAGCAGAGAGTGAAGTTGTTTGATCTAGTGAATTCATTTTTTATTTGGAAATTTGCCTCATTAGATTTGGACTTATTTTTGGATGTCTCTGAAGTTGGGGGTTGGAATAGGCCTACAGATTTTTTCCCTTGACAATAAATTTATTTTTAAACCCTTTTTTTGGGAGTGGAAAATATGGGAAAGTCATATTTATAAAGTAAATTGTCAAGTGGCGGAAGAATGAGGCTCCTGAAGGATTGATGCAGATATGTTTGGGTATGCAAGTGGGTCAGGTTATTCAGAATAAGATGGGACATATAAGAACAAGAGACAACTCTTTGTTCACCCAGCACCATTTCCTTAATACATACTTCTCATACTTTGTTTCTAAATAAATCTCTTAGGAGATACATGAAAATGAAATATTAATCACAAAAAGGGTTGTGTATTATGTGAGTGGATTTCTTGAAAAAATATGTTTCTACTTAATGCTTTCATTATCCACTTTCCTTGGATGCATCCAAATGCTCTCTGGGTGAAACATATATATTTAATAAAAGGCTTCTTAGGCAGTATTCTGAACATTCAAAGTGATTTAGTTCTTAAACACTAGTTTTCTTTAAAAGATATACATGGCAGTGATTATGTTTATTATATCATATTACTATTATAAGCATTTTCAATTTGCTTTTACATTCAAATTTTGAATGTTGTCAAGACATCATGGAGTATGTGGATAACTTTTTACTGATTATTGCCTGACATTTTTTAGTGAAGAGATTTGGGGCTAGTTTTTCATTTAACAATACTCATGGGCTTCCTATAACTTATCAGCTACTAGAGCCGCAAGTTCTTTTCACCCAAAAGTCACTTTTTTCTTTTTTACCCATACTACCTACATTGCCTTGACAGAGATTGCCAGCATGCAAAAGGTTACCCCGTCTCAACACAAGAGAAACAAAAGATGACAATGCACAGAAAGTGGTGGTAGAGGCCTATAATCCCAGCACTCAAGAGGCTCAGGCAGGGGGAGTGTGAGTTCCAAGCCAACTGGGGTACATAGAAAAACCCTGTCTCAAAAGAAAAAAAAAGGATGATACAAAAATATCTCAGTGCTATCTCTACCATATTTAAGTACCTTGTTCAGTTATTACATATTGATTCCTATGCCAGTCGCATCACTGGAGAAGGAAAGGAAAAGGAAACATCCTATTGTGTGCAAAGATTGTCTGTTACACATGTCCAGCAAGGCCTGATTTCCAATTCCATGACATTTCTCAGTCCTTTGTGAAGACAATCTCTCACACTTCTTTCTGACACCTTCCTGACAGCAATGAGCTTCCAATTCCTCCACAAGTCCATTGGACTCATTCCCGTCACCTCCTGGCCTTCCTCTTCCTTTAGTCGTCATCTTCTATCTGGTGTTTCAGCCTCAATTAAGGCCTTAGGCCTGTCATTTGAAGCAGACTTGTGAAAGATTTAAATGCCAATTTTAGTTTCAGGCCTGGATTGAAATCTCAGCTTCCTGTGTCCTATACATTTCTGTTTCCACTCATAAAATGTGTATAATATCACCTACTTAATAAGTGAAATAGTGTATACAGCACATGGCATATGTAAAATTTCCAGAACTGGTAGCTATTTTATTTGTTTCAATTCTATTTTAAAATGCATAGTTATTCCACAGTTTTTCAAAGAAAATTACCAATAGTTGGTAAAAGAAATAATTTCCTCACGGCTTAACTGATAATAGAATGACAAGCATTTGTAAAGAGCTACATAGCTTTTATATATACATATATATGATCTTCAAATAGTTCTCATCCTTTTCTCACCACCTGCCATCTACAGAGAGAGAGAGAGTAGATCTATTTATATAAGTACTAGGTATATAATTATATAAAAATATAGTTTATAATTGTCATATCATTTATTTTATAATTATTAAGTTTTATATATAATATATTATATCTGAGAGAGTAGGTAGCATGGTGACTGGATAGCTTGGAAACTCCCTGGTTATTACTGGCAGATTTAGAAGAAATGGAGTGAATATTTAGGGAATCCCTTCTTGGTAGAAAGCAGCTTTGTTTTTCAAAATTAGGCCATTTCTTATGATTCAAATGACAAAGGATTCTTGCCTCTATTTGAGATGGAAAGGTATGACAAAGGACTCACCTTAATTTAGTGACTCCTCACTTATTTCCTCATTATTATTAGTTACTGAATCGAATTTTTCCATCATAAATAGGACTTTGTGTCTTTGAGTTCCAAGCAGTGCCTTAAGTATTTCTTAAAGAACTAAGCAGATGTCTTTATGTTTTTATTAGTGTGCATCCCAGAAACCTACCATTTGCTTTGTTTTAATGTCAGCAATTATGTGGTGATTGATACATGATACCGATTCACCTCCAAAATCTAATTTTAACCTTTCAGAGTAGAGAAAAGAAAATTAACGGACCCGCTTGAAGCTTTAAAAGAGAAATACTTGAGACCTTCTCCAGGATTCTTGTTTCACCCACAAGTAAGTATTTTGAACTTGAGATTTCAAGCTTGTAAACTAACTTGTTGATCCTGAAAAGCAGGTGCAATGAAATGAAAGAAATCTTGAGAACACTAGGATTTCCTATGACGCTGCTGTTGGAGGAACACAGGAAATTCTAGCAGAATTAAAACCCAAGCTCTTTAAAGAAAAAGTAATTAATATACATGTAAAAATAGCATGGTTTGGGTGTTAAATTTTGTCTGCTGTTAACTACTTATTGAGCCACAGTGCATTTTTGGAGTAAGCAGAACTTAGCTAAGGAAATCAATATTGAAGTTGTCTTTTGTATTTGAAGGTTACTGATACTAAGATAGGATCATACTGTGGCTGGTCCCAAACTCAAGGAGGTCATTCCTGTTCTTTTAGTGTTTAGGTAAAAACAGGAAATGAGTTCACCTGACACGTTGTTACCATAGAGAGTGAAGGAATTTATCTAGAGACCACTGGGCATTCCAGCAAAGTTCTGTAATTGCACAAAAATTCACCACAATACACAGAGCTGTTTTCTGAATGGAGTCATACCCATTTATCAAAATATGTACAGTTTCTCATTACAAGAAAAATACAAAGCAGGGTTATCTAACTGGTATTTCTCTATCCATATGGTTATTTTTTAAAAAACTGATTTACATATCAAGATTTACATATCAATCTACATCTAGAGAATTGTATTGAAAGTACAAATATATAGGCATCTCAAGGTCAAGTTTCTTTGTTTTTCTCTGTTTTTGTTTAAGTGATACAAGCTCTGATTTTATATATAGCAAAATCTTTGTGAACATGACTGAAAAACAGAGTATGTTTCTTCCATTAAAATATGTTGAAAACGATGGTTCTGTAATAAAATTAGTGAAATTTTATGTAACCTACTTCATAACAAGTTAGGAAGTAATTAAAGTAATTCATTTTGGGATTTGTTTTCCTCTTTGTTACTTCTTCTTTACTTTTCCCACTACCTTCCTGAAGTTCTGACAAGAGCAAGGGAGTTGAAATAAAAAGTCCTGGGTTAGTTGGAGAAATCTACTGTTGCTCAAAAATTCTCACTCTAACTCAAACTGAGAAAATATATGATTTTATATAAAAACTTTTAGAAGTATTCCAGCATTTATATATTAAAGTTAAGGAACAATATAATTTACATAATTACTTTATGGAAAAGAAGCAAGTTCTAAAACAATAAACATTTATCAGTAAATATTTTATGGTTAGGTTGATGAAAATGTCACTTTAAAGTTTTCATGGGTTAATAAACTTAAATGTAATATGCATTTTGCCTCAGATATTTTATAAAAGCGTGTCTATCTTGGTGTTTCTCTTTTTAATTATAAATATTATGAGAATACAATAGTTGCATACATTAAAATACAACAATCAAGTTGTTTTCATATTCTGCTATTATTGAAAATCTTGCAATGAACAACTCCAAAATTGAGAGTTGTGGCACATTGTAAAATGGAGAAAAGCTACGTTTTTGAGCAATTCTTTCTATCTGGTTCTTAGTTTGCTTTTCTGTAAAATGAGAAAGTTGGGTGTAAGTTTCCTATGCAGTCTGAAATTCAAAGATTTCTAACTGATCAAGGTAAATTTACTGCCTTCCAAGATAGTTTTGTCTACCAATTCCTCTATATGTGTATGCTAGCACATCTGCATATATTTTAAAAAATAATATGAGAGAAAATGCTATATTCAAATATTCCCAAAGTTAAGGAAGCAGGACAAAAGAAGAGGTATGCACCCACTGCTTGGAGAACAGTGATCTTGCCTTCAAACCTCAGACATGTCTGTGTAAGCACAGAGACAGTGTGTGTCCTTCCCTCCCAGAACGCCACGTTTGGTTTCAGGGCTGCCTGTTGCTGCATGTTGCTATTAGAACAGGACACAAGAGTGAGCGCTAAAACATGCAGCACCTGGTGTGGCACAAACATCCATCCATCAGAGTGGATCCCTGCTATTCTGGAGCAGGCCTCTGGAGGCGTTGCTGTTCCCACTGTTAATGTTCTGGTTGCTGATGGTGGGGCTGTCTGAGGGATCTTTGGGAAGAGTTAAGGGAAGGAGGGGGGACCTTCAGGGGGCTTCGAGCAGAGGCTGTTTGCCAGCTACTACAGAAATGTGTTGTTGTTTTGACAGACATAAGGCTGTTTTAGTGTGTGATTCTGCAAATTCCTGGGATAGGCAGGAGAAGCTTGGTTGCCCCTCCAATTTTCATCAAGATTTCAGACCAGTCTGTTTTTTTTTTTTTTTTAGAAAACCTGCCTCTAGTTCCAAAATTATAGCAAATTTTCTTTCTAGTGCTCCTATCAGTTCCATCCCAACTTCAAGACATACCTTGAAGCACACAAACAAAACCCAGGATTTGGGGCTAGAAGTAACTGTGTCACAATGTGCTTTACTACTTATTAACAAAAGTGCTTACTTAGCTTTTGAACAATACTATTCATGTCTCTGAAATCAGTATAATGGGCGCCCCTCTCAGCCTTACCAAAGTGGCTGTAAATGTCAGTGTTGCATAGCTTGGCACATGGAAGGACCTAATGAGAAAGAGCTCTTATTAATGACACAGAAGCATACATTGCCAATAGAAAGGAATAATAAAATGCCCTCTTCCAATCCAGTGAGCCCACTTTCTTTGTGAAGTCTTTGTCAGCTGTTCAGGGATCCTGGGAAAGATGTTTTCTGTGTCTTTGGTATGACCTCACCGAGCAACAGTGAGGGTAACACAGAACAAGAAGCCCAAACAGAAGGACAGAAGATTTGCTCCCAGGGCTTGCTGTGCTTTCCTAGTTAAATGTGTGTTTGGAAAGGAACATTTGCTTCACTTTCCATGTAAAGTATATTGGAGCCAATCACATGGTCTTTCTGGGTGCTTCTGAAGCTTCCTATTCAAAATTGGAATGAAATCTGCTCTATTTCTCAAGGTTATTGTACTAATAAGGAGGAGGTCACATTCTCAATGCTTTAAAGAAAGGATATAAACAGATATCTCACTTCTTGGTCGTGGTACTCTCTGGAAAAGTCAGATTTTGTAATTTTTATGTATCTTTGTATTCCACTAGCACATCCTTTCCTAGTGCTCAATACTTAGTCTATAATAAGTGAACATATCAATAAATATTTATTAAAAGATTATTAAGCCATCTTACTGCCTCTTGGAATAATACCATGTATTTTTAAAACTGTCCCATACATCAAAATTAAGACATAAATCCTCAGGGACCAATTTCCTCTCTTAGTTCAATTCTGGAAGGAGTATGCTTGCTCTGTCAGGCCACCAGAGGACTATTTAGCCTTCCCTATTTTTCTTATAATTATAAGTTACTCTTCTGTAAAGGAGAAGTAAGTACTGTAGAGTTTCTCTCTGGATACACCATTGAAAATTATTCATGGTGTTTTAGTTGAAATTATAATTTAAAAAAAGAGATAATGGCCACAGATAAGTAAGATGGAGGATAAAACATTATGTGTGATCTTGATGGAGTGGCCATTTTATTGAATTCTATTTTGGATATTTAATACTTACATTGATAGCCCATTTGAACTATAATATAAATCATTTGGCAAGTATAGCATTGTAAAAGTGGCTATTATTCCTTGGTTTAATTTTCCTATACTTTCAATATTATTTTTGGTTATATACACATTTTTTCAAAGGTTTGGCTTTGTGTACATCTGCAACAAAGATTCTCTGTTACTTAAGTTTCTGTCTTCTACCACTCATTTACATTTTTTCTGTTTATATTGCTTGATTATCCTGTTATTGCATTCCAAGGATCTGGGGATAAGTTAATTTCTTCTGAAATTGTCATTTTATATATTGATGTGAAAATAACTTTTCATTTGCCATTCGTCTTCTATCTTGCTTTCAACAAGTATTTCCTATTGTTATATTTCCTTCTTACTGAAGATAATGAAACTTGTGAAGGCAAAATATGTATCCCCTCTAACCAAGCAAAATGATTTTATTTCACTGTAGAATCTTTATGTTTCTTGGAAGAGCTTCTAACTCACTAAAGTTTTTCTCAGTGAATGTTGCCATAAATTGTTATAAGTAACTAGAACTTTTTAGTTCTTTTAACTGATATTCTTTTAAAATTTGTTTTCATTTCTGTTAGCATCTCTTCATTGTATGGGAGTTTCATTGTGCCAATTCTGAATAGCCTTACATTGTATATTGGTTAGATCACCCCCATAAGCTTTGCCCCCCACCGCCTCCTCCCTGTTCCACTTAAAGCAATTGCAAAAGAGTTCATCGTTTTATTTCATGAATGTATATGAATCCCATCAACCATATTCGCTTCATTCCTGCATTGTTTACAGCACTGATGGTCTGAGTCCCATACTGTAAGACAGTGAATTTTGAAGTCCATTAATGTTTTTGTTACTCAAATATTCCGTTATAGTAAATAGATTATTTTCTTTATTATTGACATTATAGAAATGCGATAGATTGGACTTTTGCAGGAAACTGCGTAATTTTTAGATATTAAAGCAAAATGTTGGGGTATTATTTTGCAGTAAGTAGCAACAAATAAAGAAACATCTGCTTTACTGTTATAGTAGTGGGTAGCAACTAACTTTCTTAGAATAAAGAACATTCTGGTTTATAACCTTGATTCTAGAATTTATTTTTAGGTAATAGAGGAAACTCAGTAGTGTTATAAAAATATTTAATTTCCTTTTCAAAGCTTTTACTCAAGGTACAGTCACATGACTAAGCAAAATTACTAAATTAGTATAAATGTTAATTTCTCAAAAGGATAGATTGCAATAAAGATACCAACACAGTAGTAATTTCTTGTTTTTGTTTCAATTTTGCTCCCAGTTCCAACTGCCTGATCAGAGAACTTGGGTAAGTTTCCTACTTATATTTTTGGCTAAAGTAATGTAGCATTAAAAAGAAAACAGCTTACATTCTAAGTTGGTGAGTAGACATAAGGAATTCTAAACTACTTTCCATGAAATGATATGGCTTCAGCAGATATTTTCTCTGCCTTATCAGAGGGTATAATACTTTTTGATATAATTAAGCATTTAGTTAGCTACAAATGGTTTGTAGAATGATTTTATTTGATAATCTGCCCCATTTCACATAATTACAATTTGATATGAAACTCTTGAGGGACACCTGGGAGCATATTGTTAAGCAGTGGCTTTGAAATGGATCATTAAGTGGACACAAGCATTATTTGGAGGACAAGTTAATGATACTTTTCATGAAGACTTAGACAAGATAAAACCTGAACTATGTTGAAACAGGCTGACTTTGGAATTCTCATTCAATACTTCAATGCAGAAATTGGTTCTGGCTGTTTGGAGAAATAACACAAAATGTTTAAAAACCCATATCTAAGTAGAGAACAAATCTTTTAGAATTGGATCTCACTTTCTCAACTTTCAGTCATTACTTTCAGATATAACTGATTTAAACTAATGATATTAGGGGGTGGATTTTTTTTAAATTGAAGACAATATTTAGAATGCAAAGAATCATGCTTATTTAGATTACACCTCCAAACTAATAATAAAACTTAGTCAATGGAAATAATCTATATCTTAAAATTTCCTCTAAACTTACCATACATGTGTTTACTTCTTCACTCAAAGTTACCTTTATTTCTGAGGAATGGAGAAAATCTTGGGATATAGTTCTGCTGTCTGTTGAAAGCCACAATTTAGTTTAACTGGAGCACATTAGCACTTACCTATTTCCTTTCTCTCATATTAGTTTTCCTTTATCAGGAATACTTCCATTTTTCTCTATTGTAAAATATGTGATGAATTGTGATGTATTTCATTCTGATATACTTTTAAGTTCATTTATTTAAAAATTATTAAAAAAATTATGGTGAGAGAGAATGGAAAGGGGAGGAAAGGAGAGCAAGAAAGTACACCACTATCTTAATTAAGCAAAGTTGTGTAATCAGTGATTTTCTTTGATTATTTTGACCTATGTTTCCAGGATTTTTCCTCTGTCTTTCCTGTTGGAGGTCTGTCCTATTTCTCATCTTCATATTGTACAATATGATTTTATAGTAGCTATGTGTTAGCTGCTTGAAGCTTAAGATGTTCTTAAACCCCTATATACATGGTCAGTCTTTCTACCAACTTGCAAAGCTGATTCGGGTTTTCTTACCATGCACCAACATAGCAACTGCCATTTCATTCAGTCACAGGTTCTTCATGACTGTGACTTATATTTATATTATAAAACAGATGTTAGTAGGAATATTAAAGATATAAACTTACACTTTTAGTGGTAAATGAACCTGAAGTGATTTTATAATCATGACTGCTGAATGTGATACATGAAGTGAGATAAACATAAAATATGACTATTTACTTCTAATGACCACGATTTTGAGATTTCTCAAGATTATCAAGTGAATAAATATAGAAAACTACCAAATCTACAAACTTTCCCATCATAAGTTATTTATGAATAGTTATTTTATGATAAAGCCATGTGTAATCTAATTGTGAAACATTAGGTCACATAACTCATGGTGCCATTGGACATACCATTTCATATAATCAGATTGCCACTTTCAGAGTTTTAATGAGAAACTTTTCTTTGTCATCAGTGATTGGCTGCCAGATAATAAATGTTTAGTTAAGTGCTTAGGACCAAGCTGATGATATCTTGCCTGCTGAAATGTTTTTAAAAATGCTAACTTCATTTGACTAGAGACATAACTACATTTTTTGTTAGGAGCTAGGGAATTGTGTCTAAATATTAGTTTGCGTCAGATGAAGTTAATGCCCTCTTGGGGACTGGAAAGGGGTGAAACAACTTCCTCTTCCAGACATCTGGAAGCAGATACCATCAATAGCTATTATATATGTAAATAAAAATTATTGTTCCATAGAAAAAACTGTCACTTACTGATCGGAGATTAGCCTAAGACATTAATGGCTCACATGGAAATAAATTTCTAAAGTATATAATTCAAGTTTTCTCTCTTATTTTCCCCATTCTCAGCGCATTTCTTATTCATAGTATTATACATTGCTTTTTCCATTGTATTTTTGATAATTAGATTCTGTTCTATACATCACAATTTATCTTGATTCTTTAAAACACCAAGACACACACTAAAAGAATATCAAAATTTATTGTCCTGTAAATGTAAATTATTCTGGAGGAAATCATATGAGTCAGATAAGGTAGCAAGAGAAAGTTGATATTTGATAAAGCTTATTTTAATCTAATGCCTCAATCTAAGGTAAAGGCTTGGGCTGACATTGGTCACAGAATTGCTAAACTACTCCAACTGGCAGATGTCTAAATCTCTTCTTTGTATTCTAACAGGGAAATTTATTATTTCTAACTGATTTCAAGTGATATAAGAGCAAATCTTAGGAAGAGGAAAGGAAGAATGCAATGAAAACTTTTATGTCTCTTTAGTGGCTGGGCAGAAAGTGTGTGTGTGTGTGTGTGTGTGTGTGTGTGCTGTTAATGGTTACCTCCAACTCACTTCCCATTGTCTTCCTCTTCCTTTCCCCACTCTAATTTAATCCTCTTTTCACTTAACACCAAAGCCAAAGATGGGGATGACTTCTAAGAGAGGCACTTGGGTAACCTCCCTTTTTTCCCTATTATCTTTAAGAATGTCATTATTTTGCCATCAAGCACATAATATATTTTCTTGTTTCTTGATGGTTTTCTCAAATTGAAACAGTTTGAGGTAAAGTAATCACGGTGATCTTTCTTCAAAAGCAGCTAGCTATTAGCAGCTACTAAAGCAAGACACATTTCTCAACAGCCAATTGCTCTCAAATAACTTGAAGGACTTGTAGTTTGTGTGTGCTAGAGATGAAAGCTGAGAATAATAATAGTCATGAGTAAGCTATTTTCCATATAAAAGGAAAAGCATTTGTATAAGATGTATTGCTGCAGAAACCTGAGTGTGTCAGCAAGGCGGACACTCACTGGGTAATGAAACATTACCCGAATATTATATGCACATAAATAAAGCATTTATAATCCTCACTTATGTACCTTCTGTTCTTCCCAATAAACACATGTGATCATGACCCTTACTCTTGCTTGTTTGTGCTAATCAGCTTGAAGACCAGAGGTCATTTTTCACTCAGACAATTTATTCCATGGTGTTTGGAATATTAAAATGATTTTCCGTAAGGAACAATTACAAGGAATAAATGCAAATAAAATAGTATAAAAATATTCCTAGATTGACTTTTAATTAAAAAATTCCAAAGTCATGTGAAAATGCTAATGTTTTGACTAGCACATATAATGACTCTATTCTGCAGACACAGAATTTGCTCCAACATCTCTGAGCATCATCATCATTCCATATCTTTGCCCTGTGATCAGTATGTGTCAAAATCCTTCATAGTGACAAATGTGCTGTCCACTTGGATCTGTGGAAAATGTTTTAGCAGCTGAGTGATTATGAATCAAACCCTTGAGCTTATAGCCCTTACTGCCTCCCAATGCATTCACATTTGTCGTCTGACAAGTAAATGTATCTTGACTTTCCTTTGAGATTTTTTTTTTTGTACTGTGTTTGATGAAAGACATTTGGCAAATTGGCATTGGTACCCTGTACATTGTAATTTGTAGCTCGCATTAGGAGTCCAGGCATGAAATGAGAGGGCAGGTTCCAGAATAAAGAAAAAAGAAAGAGAGCTAACCAGAACATGAATTGTCATTTTGAAGACTCAAGCATACAATATTCCCTTTGTGAGAGGACACTCATGTTCAATCCATTCTGTTAAAATTTTGCTTTGGTTTAAGAAGTTAGTATTTTTCTATCCAACTCTGCAAATAATTTATATTTTGTTAGTTTTTCGTTTGAGTCAGAAATGTTACTTTTTACTTTTAGCTTGAGTTTATAAATTAGATATCCATTTCTTTCATCAGCAAAAGAATTAACCTCTTGGGTTCAACAGTTGTTTGAATTTGTAGTTTTTGCCATCTAGGTCCTTGTGTGTCTTCTGGTTTACCAGTGTACTACCCTAGCTCTTTGAAAAACCATCAGGATGCATGTAAAACCTTTTAAATGGGTGTTTCCTTAGTGGTGTAGTGCTCTGAGAGTCAAATAAATGATGGTGAATGAATTGATTTAACAAGATGGCTTGAGAGTTTGTTTTGTCTACTTAAAAATTTGGTAGTAAACAGCTTCCAAATAAAATGTGAGCACTGAGGAAACAACATATTGGGAGGGTCAAAGGAAAGGGGAGAGTCTCTCTAATGTAGACATTAAGGTTGAAGCTAAGTTTAAAAGTAAATGTCACCCTCTATTTCTGAATCTGTCAGATATGTGCGTAGGTGGATAAAAACTTGATTATAAGCAAAATAAATTAGGTTGTTAGAGATAGAATTAGGCAAGACAAATTTTTCTTCCACATTATTTCTCTAAGAGCTTGATTATGTGAATTTGTCTCCTTGTCTTATAATGCACATACCAAGTTATATTGTATGAATTTATTTTAATATATGATGAACTGTCATTTCAACTCATTTTTTCCAGAACAAATTAATATTTCATCAAAATTCTTTGTATATGATCCCACTTCAAATTTGGTGTATCCAGATATTAATTTAACTTAGCCTTAAGTAATACACCTTTTACACATTTAATTTTTTTCTTTCTGGATTACATGCATTTGTCTTAAGATATAACTTTGGAACACTCACTGATCTTTCTTGATGTGAGTTCTTCTCATGGACACCAAGGTCCTTATTTTTTTTTTATTACCTATGCAAGGAATATAGTACTTTTCCCTAAAATTTCCAGTTTACTATTGATATCTATAACCTAATGTTGTCATTTAATTAAATAAAAAAGTTAATATGGCTTTATTTTCTCTCCTAGATATTTCATTTCTTAATTGTATATCAGATTATTATAAAGTATCCTATAAAACAGTCTTATGGAAAAAGTTCACCTGGCATTTATTTTATAAGTTTGATTCTACCTTTATTTTCCAATCAAACAATTTCCTCATTGTTTGATTAATACTGAAACCTTACAATCTCTTTCTAAATCTTTTGCGTTTGGAAGATTTGATGATTTTCTGTTGATAATGTTCTTAGTTTGCCAGAGATTATTACAGAAGAAAAGATGTCAGACCCTTCATGGTCCTGTGCTTTCTGCCTTTCAGATGTCAGCTATTGAAAACATGGCAGAAAAGCTGGAGAGCTTCAGTGCTCTGAAGCCTGAGGCCAGTGAGCTTCTACAGTCGGTGCCATCTATGTTCAACTTCAGAGCACCTCCCAGTGCCCTGCCGGAGAACTTACTGCGGAAAGGGAAAGAGCGCTATACCTGCAGGTAACTGCAAAGTTAATTATGCCTGGCTCTCCCCAAATCTCCCCTCTGATTTCAAAAGACCCTGTTGTTTGTTTTGGAAATTATTCTTGATTAGATGATTAATAGCAATCATGATAGATTTCAGGCACTTCAAAGTGCTCTTTATTTAGTGAGATATAAAAATAGTGGTTTTAAAAATTATTATTAAATGAGAATTTTAACACAGGCCATTTGGTTGTGATAAATGAGGTTGGAAACAGTCCAAATACTCTCTACTTGACTCACTTTGATATTTATGAATTTTCTTTCACAGTTAATTATTTTTATCCAAAGATAAAATACTACTGTCCTTAAACATACATTTATTAATTGTCATGGCATTGAAGAATAAAGCCATTCATGAAGACAAATAAGGTCCATAAGTGAAGAAAACTAGTTAATACATTTCTTTTTACTCCTTAGTAAAAGAGTAAAGCTTATTTATGCTTCTGTTTGTGTAGTGTGTGTTTCTAAATAAATTGTGCTACGATTTCCCAATTGTTTTCAGAAATTTGTGCTGTCTAACTCAGGCATCTCGATTTATCTGCTTTTTGAAATATGTGTCACTTTCTTTCCAGAAAAGCTTTTATGGGAACACACCTTGATGGATGAGGTCTCAGGATCTTATCTGATCTGATAGCACTCATTGCATAGGGAGTTGTCACTGAGTGTGACATGTAAAATGACTTGAAACATGTTTACATCAGCCTAGAATCACAAACTCTCACATTTTAAAAAAATCTGTTTATCTGGTTCAGTTTTGTGAATGTTAAAGATACGGAGTTACTAAGAGGCCTATGGGGGTCATCAAAACTAAAGTCTACTTTCATGAACTGCTTACTTATGCATGAACAAATGCAAGCAGTTCTCATATCATCACCTTTATTTATATCTCTAGAATGGCTTTGTTGCAAACTTTAAATACCAAAGACATGTGAGTTCCATGTAAGATTAATTAAGTCACGAATAAGCATCTGGCTGCTATGCAGCTGGAGAGAAAGAAAGTCGACTGTGCTGACTTTCTCTTATAAACATCTTTTCATAACAGATACTGTGGCAAGATTTTTCCAAGGTCTGCGAACCTAACACGGCACTTGAGAACCCACACGGGAGAACAGCCTTACAGGTTTGACAATGATTTTTCTGTCTTGATAAATATTGTAGAACTTTAAGTGGATCCTCTGTTAAAGAAGGCTACCTTTGTGCAGGTCTGGATATGTGTCTGCTTAATTTTGAGCCAAGGAAAAATTGACCAATGTGGGTCAAAATTAGAAGAATGTTAATAAATTCAAAGGAAACTTATCACTCAGTTCAAAAGTTCTAGTTCAACGTCCAGTACAGGATAAGCTTAAGAGATGTTAGCAATTTGAAAATTTATTTTTTGTTATTTTAGTGCTCGCTCTTCTCAGTAATCAATACTGTTTTAATTCACAAAAATCGTAACACTGCAGCTTCCCTTTTCCAAGCCTTGAATCTTGGCTAGGAGTGAAGAATCCGCATATATTTTGTTTTCTCATCACACCTAAGTTAATGTTCACAGCTCCTAACAGGAGATTTAAGGACAAAGTATCTTAAGTCTGGGAGGAGAAAAAAAGTATGGAATTAGAGACAGAACAGATAAAATACAGTATGCTATAGGAAATATCAACAGTTTCCAGTTTGTCCCATTAAACGTCGACATTAGGCATAGGACACATCTGATTTTAGTATTATTGTTTAGAATGGAATGAAAACAGTCAACATAACCCCTTCTAGTTTGAAAATATAAGCTACATTATTTAAAGTGCAATGCTCTGCACATAGTATTAGGAACCTTATTTGTATTTTTTCCAACAAGTAATATTTATCTTGAATAATATCCTACTCTCATTTGCCTTTGAAATTGTCATGAACTGCATATGAATGAAATTATTTTGGTCTGAACATTAACTTCTTTATTAAACTAAATAAATTATTTTTCTGGTTTCGAAGATTTTTTTTTTTTTGCATACAAGAGTGAGAAAAATGGGCAGACCAGTGCTCATTTAAAGATACTTGAAGATATAGGAGAAAATTAGAGGACTTAAACTGACAAAAATCATGATTTCATACATTTTTTGTAAATCACTATATGAAGTGAAACTTCTATTTTTTGTGTGGTGCAATGTACTTGATATAAGATCTCCAAGAGGTTTATAATGGGAAGTTTCAGATAACTTCCTTTTGGAGAACATTCCACCTCCCAGGAATTCGACTAGAAGTAAGTAAAGTCACTTGCACTGATGTTTTTTTATGGCCAAGGGTCCTGGCAGCAGCCGTGATATTGAGTTCATTTTACTCATGCTCATACCTGAATGCAGTGGTTTTTATTCTGCCTCATAAATGGTACTGTTACTATATATGTGTTTAAAATAGAATTTTGCATAGCTGGAGACCTTAAACAATGATTTGTTCAACCCTTCTACTTTGCAAAGGAAAAAAATCCTCAGATCTATAGATGCTACTGTCTTTGTAAAATCTGGTAGCAATAGATACAGAATTAAAACACAAGACCAGAATTCTCAGTCCAGAGTTTTTAATCTCATACTATTTTTTGATTCGTATATCTACATCCAGTAAACAGGAAGCTTTATTGATATACTGATCATGATTGGCTCATGACTGGTACATTTTTTTTCTTTTTTTTATTGTTTTATTATTCATATGTGCATACAAGGTTTGGGTCATTTCTCCCCCCTGCCCCCACCCCCTCCCTTACCAGCCATTCCGCCCCCTCCCTCTCCTCCCCACCCCCTCGCTATCTGGCAGAAACTATTTTGCCCTTATCTCTAATTTTGTTGAAGAGAGAGTATAAGCAATAATAGGAAGGAACAACTGTTTTTGCTGGTTGAGATAAGAATAGCTATACAGGGAGTTGACTCACATTAATTTCCTGTGCATGTGTGTTACCTTCTAGGTTAATTCTTTTTGATCTCACCTTTTCTCTAGTTCCTGGTCCCCTTTTCCTGTTGGCCTCAGTTGCTTACTTAGACCTGATTTGAGCTGTCTTCGAACCACTACTTATTTATTGGAGTAGAATGGAATGGTTGTTATTGTTGTTATCATAATTATTGATATTATGATTATGATTATTATTATTAATTAGAGCACTCACCCTTCTGGCCAAGATGTTAGCACAAGAGAAATACAAAGTAACAACTGATCATTGGTTAGAACTCCCTTATTGATTTTCTTCTGGTGTTCTGAAGCTTGAACTCAGAGCCTTTTGCCAGGCAGGCACTCTACCACTTGAGCCATGTCCCCAATCCTCTTATTGGTCAATTTTATTCAGATTGTAGAAGATGAAGTTTACTAGACTTAGAAACGTCTCTTTGCACAGAAGCAGAAGGTTGGAAGCATGTCACAGATGAAATCTTTCTTCCTCATGGTTTGTACAGAAATTAGGATAAAATTCTTTTTGAAGTGTTTATGAGAGTATAAGTTGTCTCCATCAGTGTTTCTTAGGTTGTTCTGCTCAGTTACAATATAGTTGTGCAAAATGCACCATGATTCTTACTGCAATGGGCCTTAGAGATAAAGTTATAACAGGGAAGTCATGGCTCCATATGCATTTTTTTTTAAAAGAAGAGGCTAAAATAGTACCATTGCTATCAACGTGCAATTATTAATGTTATAAGCCAGCAAATTTGAAGAGCTATATAATGTGAGAATATTTTCTAAGGAAGAGTTCTTTAGTTGGTTTATTGATACTAGGCCAAAGTAACTAGTTCAACAGATTTATTTTTTCCACTGAACTGACTAGACTTCTGGCATCACAGGAGGACAGTTGGAGGAGCCCAAGTACTTCAAGTGGCGTGGGGTGATTTCTGTTCTATAGCACTTGAACTTGAGTCTGCATTCGTAAGTGGGAGGAGAAGGGCCCTTCATATACGGAAGAAAGACTTAAGAATTTTCCGACTACTAAGTTAGAAAATTTCACTTAAAAGTCATTTGGAGAAAGTCAGTTGAGTCAATTACAAAATCCAGTTTTCTTCCTCACCAGTAACAGTTGAGAGGTCTTACCTTACTATATTTTCACTTCATGAGTAAATGAAAACTTGAAAATAATTTGTGGATTTTTAAAATCATATAGAGGGCAGAACCATTATCAAACCAAAAATATGTGATTTCCTGGAAAATTGAACTAGTTCAGACATTCTGCAAACACATTCTTTTGTACAATTAAAATACACTAGTAAAAGGCATGAAAGTTGAAATGGAAATTTGGGGGAACTAGGGTGAGGAATGGTTAATGAAGACCCTTGCTTTCACCCAAGAGAATTTAGCGGCACTACTACTTACTTTTTTAACAGTTTAAAGATTAATAAAGGTTTTGGGATTCCTAATCACCACAGTTTATGAAAATCACTGTCCTTAGTATCAGACTACACTATTAACATTGTATCAGCTAAATTTTGGAACATTTAATTCTACTTTGGAGATCATAACAGAATTTTCTTTAGGATTGACAGCAGAGAAGGGAGATTCACTAAGAAATTATTCAGACTCCAATTTTGAATTCAAGCAATCTTTATACTTTGAAAAAGGCATGAATTTGTTTTACATTTGTTTAGAAAAGATTCAATTATATCTTACTAAGCAGAAGACAAAACAATGCTACTATTTCTGAATGTTTTTAAGTTTGTGAGATTTATGTATGTATGTATGGATGGATGGATGTATGTATTGGAACTGATTGCTCCAATAAATTTGGGAGCAATGAAGTCATCAATATATTATTATGGTCTTTCATAAAGTCATGAAAAGCTTTAAAGCAATCAGGTCTGTTGGGGTTAGAATCTTGACTGTGTGAACATCGTTCTTCCCTGAATCTTTTTTATTTTTATTTTAGTTTTTAATGTTTTCTCTCTTTTTTATTGTTGTTGTGCTGGGGGTATATTGTGACATTTACAGAAGTTCTTACAGTATATCAAATATATTATAGTTGAATTCATCTCCTCCATCATTCTCCTTTATCCTCCCCTCCCCCAATTCCTGGAATAGTTTCAACAGTTCTCATTTTTCCATTTATATACATGTGCACACAGTATTTGTACTGTATTCACCCTCCCACACCGTTCCCCCACACCCCCACTGGTACCAGCTCCCCAGATAGGACCTGTTCTGCACTCCTATTTTCCAATTTTGTTTAAAAAAGTGGCAATTTTGTTTGTTTAAGATAGCTATACAGGGAGTTTGCTTGTGACATTTCCTTGTATTTTTATATTTTTGAGACGGAATCTCATTATATTCCCCAGGCTGGCATAAAACTCATTGTATAGCCCAGGCTTGAACTTGTTTTCCTCCTGCCTCAGCCTCCCAAGTGCTGTGATTACACATGTGCTCTACCACACGTGGCTGACTGTGCCTTTTCTGAAGGGTTTTGTAGGTTATAATTTTAGATATCTGATTTACTAATCTGGAGAAATATCTTCGATTGGCTTGCAACTATTTTCTCTGTGCTTCTTTTTCAGATGCAAATACTGTGACAGATCATTTAGCATATCCTCTAACCTGCAGCGGCATGTCCGCAACATCCACAATAAGGAAAAGCCATTTAAGTGTCACTTATGTGACAGGTGTTTTGGACAACAAACCAATTTAGACAGACACCTAAAGAAACATGAGAATGGAAACATGTCTGGTGGGTAATCGATTGTGCTATGAGGAAATGATGACTTATTTTTCTTGTTTTGAAATAGAATCATGATCTTTCTTCCTTCATTCCGTTTTGACCCCCAAAGTCAGATCTTAGTGTGAAAATTCATGGCAAGTTTCCCTGAGATTTTGGAGTCAGGTGGATAATGTGATCACTGATGAGTGTGGATCTCCTTGCCCTTACTTAAATTACATTTTTGTCCTGCTGGGTTCATCTCAATGGCAATCTCAACCAAAGAGAGCCATGACCCAAACTCACTGAAGACATATGAGTCAAGATTTCCTAAATGTCACAGAACGATCTGTATACCTCTTGTCACAGAACATGTCCCTTAAGAATGGCATAAAATCCAGTGTGGCAACTCCAGAATGCGACATTCTGAATATTAACCTAGAAACCATGGCTGCTTTCGCTGAAGGCCTGCAGTTCACAGAACCCCCTCCAGGGAAATCTTAGAAGATTATCAGTATGGTCAGAGCATACCACAACAACTGACAGAAGCATTTTGCTTTTCTCACAAATTCTGATGTAAAAGTTAAGTTGAACCAAACTAGTAAATAACTACTTTTCCCTTAATTCAAATTGCTAGCATGCATTTAGCAGAAGGCATCATTTACCTTTTTGCCTTTGGCTCTTAAAACTTAGATGATTAGCAGACTCAACCTGTACAGTCACAATTTGTTAATAAAGAATCAAGGATATGAGTCAGGTGGATGAGAAAGGGGTAGTATGGAGTTTAGGAAAAGAGATGTTAAGAGCAGAAAAAAATTTTCTTAAGGAAATTATTTTATTATTAATCATTCTCCACTGTAAGGAACATTGCTTATGATCTTGAATGGTGACAATTTAGAACTATATACTGTTTATTTCCCTCAAAGCCAAAAGTATAATGATCATAGTTTCATAATACAGAATTTCAGGGTCAGAAGTGTAACCCAGTGTACAAAACTGGCCACATTTTCTGCATTCTTATAATTTACTATTATAATTTTCTAATGAAAGTTACTTCAGGAAAAAAATAAAGTTAAAATGTACTTTGTCAGGGTCTGGGGATAATTGCTTAATGGAAGAGCACTCCCTCCATGCCTGGACACCCTGGTTTCCTTCCCCAGCAATAAAACTAAAACATAACTTGTCAAAGTTGAATATTTATCTGTTAACCCACATTATAATTTTTTTAATTGAGGGGTTTTTAACCTTTTGTTTTTGTCTTATAGAAAACTGTGATGAACTAGTAACTTACACTCTGTAGGCAAGATAAACAGCATGGACCAATGTTGGTGTAAAGTTTCACCACAAATAAAGTCATTACAATTTGCCAATTGATGTAAACACACAGCATTTCTGTGAAAAGGGCATCATGATCTTAATTTTGTAGGTGAGGAAGCTGAAGGTCCTCCTGTAACAGGCAGACTAGTATTATCTTCTTGCTGCTAGAGCAGTCTCTGGGCTCTGTGTCCTGAGTCTACTCAAGGCTAGCCCACCAGATCAGAATGCAGAAATTTTCAGTGTGTTTTCAATCTTGATTTGGTAACCCACTTTAGCACAGCAGCAATTATTAAATGTTGACTGCAGCCAGGACTGAGACCAGGTTCTCATGGAAGAATCCATGCAAGGTTCCTATAGTTTGTCTCACCTTGTCTCCTCACTACATGAGTGAAACTGTTTCTGTGTCACAGTAGGGATAAGGGGAAGCTAGCAAGAGAAATGATATCATTGAGAGACTGTAATTCATAGTTTTAATGGGTCAGAATATTCCCAAGGGACTTTCATGGGAATTAAGGTAATTTGGGAAATGTTGCCCTCCTAAAGTTACTAGTAATCATATTCAAAAAGACATGCTTTAAGAAACAGCACTGATCAAATTCATGAGCATGAGGTGCAAAATAAATCAGCAGGTAAACAATAATTTTTGTCACAAAAGGCTTTCTGTACCACTCAGGTACGGCAACCTCATCGCCTCACTCTGAACTAGAAAGTACAGGTGCAATTCTGGATGACAAAGAAGATGCTTACTTCACAGAAATCCGAAATTTTATTGGGAATAGCAACCATGGCAGCCAGTCCCCCAGGAATGCAGAGGAGAGGTAAGACTGGTGTTTACTTTTTTAAGCTCTGGGACATCTAGAATGAATATGCTTTAAAATACATTTACCGCGCTGACTTTTGTGGCACCAAAGGCTGGTAATCATTTAGTGCATATTAAATGTCATGTGTGTGTGTACACATGAATATGTGTATAATGTGCTGCACATATTAATTAATTTAATTCTCATGAGAACCTTGTGAGACAGTGACCACAAGTTTATCTGTGAAGAAACAGAAAAATCAAAGGCTAATGACTTGCCAAAAGTCACATAAATAATAAATGCAACTCAACCAGGGCTATCTGGTAGTCCATTTGACTACAAATGTTGTTCTACTTCTCTTCGATAAAATAGGATATTTTGTCAAAATTTCAAACATGGCTGGGAAAACCACCACAAGGATTCAATTGAATCACTGATCACTAGTGACTAGTGTGACCTGTCATATGTATTAGATAATCCAGTGACTCTTCCTATTTCTTTCGCTCTGCCTATGTTTCTAATTTATATACATTATAGGTGTGTGTGTGTGTGTGTGTGTGTGTGTGTATGAAATACGCACTGAGTGTCACCTAAATACTTTTTACATAGAAGCATTTAAGACTTCTTAAAGTTCTGTCACTACTTTGTGTCCTCTCAATGGCCTGGTGTGTTTGTTTCAGTGGACATGATGATTCTTGTATTTAATGACCTGGTATACTGTCATCATCAACATTAATCATATCTAAACAAAAGCTTTTAATGCTGTCAACAATAAGTCACACTTACCTAATACTTTACCTTGTATGTGAAGTTAATGAAACTATTTTGCCAAACTGCTGGGTGCAATTTTTCTTAGTTTTAACTAAATACCTGACATTGGGAACTGTACTCCTCTGAACGTAACTGTCCTGTGACCTATTAGGTTAGGGTATTGTAAAATTTAATACAACATGATGTTCCATTACTTTTTAACATACAAGTGTTACTGGGTTAGTGTCCTTTATTTATGATCCTCGTAAAAGTCAAGGTTAATTATTTTAGGTAGTTTCTCCATCAAGGCATGCTTCATATAAACATTTTTACCAAAATAAAACATAAGATGTATGACAACTTTTGTTCTTCAACTTTTATGAAAGAGTACCTATGGGGAAAAAGGAAAGAAAGGTCCTTGAGGGCATTGAAGAAATCTGATAAGAACTACAGCAATGAGCAGTGTTACCCTTCTTTTGCCCTCCTGGGTGTGCATGCAAGAGAGAGAAGACAGGCAGACAGAGATTGAGAGTGGTGAGGCAGGCAGATAATCAGAAGTACAGTATAGTAAGAGCAAGTAAAACATTGTGTACATATTATATTTTGATACAATGATATTTACATAATGCAAATGAGAAATATTTAACAAGAGACATCATTTGCGTTGTGAGTCACTTATTCAGATTTTCTAGCTCCTAATCGGAGGTTTGTGAGTCTGTGTATGAAGCTGGGACATCTGGTTTCAACATGTCCAAACACAGAAGTAAGAAGGTGAGTCATCTAACTCCCCTCTCAACTTCTACCAGGCTACTTTTAATGGGTAATTTATCCCCTATAAATCGCTACATTTGAAAGCATAATTAACCAATAGCTTTTCTTAATTATTTTGGCTTTCATTACTTTTGGTTTTCATCCATACACTCTTTTGTTCTTTTACTTATTCATTCTTTTTTTTAAGTAACAATTTCTATGCATTCAAGTTAGCAAATTGGCAGTATATCTGGAAATTAATAATTCATGTCTGTGAAAAATATTTCTTCATTATCCTTTGGTAAAAGAGGTTAAGAGATTGGTTACATAAAATGCCTAATAATAATAATAATATGTCTTTTCTGGTCAAATGGATTTTTACTATGTGTATCTGTCATATCCAAGATTGTTTTATTTATGTATTAATTTTATGCTGGGAAACCTACATGTTAAGCTATACTCATTCTTATGTGGAAAAATGACGAGGTTGCGTTACTGATGCCCAAACTTCTATAATCTGAAAAATAATTACATGTGAGAATCATACATGATTGAAATAATAATTTAACAGTCTCCACCAAGTTTTCTGAATTGATAAATAGATAAAGAAGCAAGGGAAATGGGGAGATTGTGAACAGGCCAGGAATAAGTACATTCAGTATCAAACAACCTTTCTGAACTTTGGCAAGTATATTAACTTAGTTGGTCATGTGTCTTTAGAAGGAGGAGGTAACAAGAAGGTATGCTATAGTTCAAAGCATTTATCATTTTTAAATTAATAAGCTCATCTTTTAAATCTTACAGCACAAATTAAATTCAAATTATGCTCACTGTGATGGTCATTTGAAAGCCTGAGATGCTTATCTTAGTTTTTATAAGTGTCTCAGATGTATTAAATTGTAATTCCTGTGCAATTAATATCTACTTTTATAATTACTCTTTAGTCACATATTACAGTCCTTGGAATAAACAAAAATATTTTGATTTTGCATAAACAGAAATATTACACATGACTTTTTCAAAGTACAGTATTCTTTTGTATCATTAGGTGTGCTTGCTAAACAGACTTCAAAGGGTGTTTGTACAACTACACTTCTAGTTCATGTTCCACCCCAGTGTTTTCATGGGAAGCAAGGAATTTTTTCATATTGATGCCACCAAGGACCCCTTTGAACATATTACAAATGGCTGGGTGTAGGTCTTACATCTGTAATCTCAGCTACTAGACAGATAAAGATTGGGACAATTGAGGTTCGAGGCCAGCCTGAGAAAAACGTGTCAAGAAACAAGCTGTGGGTGGTGGCACACATCTCTAATACCAACTACATGGGGGGCTTAGGTAGGAGGATCATGGTTGGATGGCAGCCTGGGCAAAAACTGCAAGATTCTATCTGAAAAATAACAAAAAGCAAAAAAGGGCTACACATATGGCTAAAATAGTAACAGGCAAGTGCAAGACCCTGGGTTCAAACCCCAATACCACCAAATAAGTAAATTAAAAAATAAAATTAAAGTAAGCTCTTTTTCTTCTTTTTTTATTGTTGTGCTGAGTGGGGGTACATTGTGGCATTTACAAAAGTTCTTACAATGTATCAGATATATCATACTTGAATCCACCCCCTCCACTGCTCTCTTTATCCTCCCCTCCCCCCATTCCTGGAATAGTTTCAGCAGGTATCATTTTTGCATTTACATATGTGTGTACACATTTTGTTTTGAGCTCTGAATAACTTCCAAGCTTAAGTAGAGTGTCTAAATAGAGGGTACCACAAATATCACCTAGAAACACTAAACTCCAGTTGGTGTGATGCGTTTACACTGTTGTCAGTGTCACTCAGGAATATGAGTTTTCCAGAAATCAATTATTTTAATGGAGAGTACTTAAATGGTAATTAGGTATATTACACAGAGAAACATGTATGTGCTTTTTGTATTATATATAAAAACATCATTTATTAGACACGATAAGAAATCAGAGACTGAAATTGTTTTTCCAGTTCGGCTAGAGGCTCCATTTATAATCTGATTAATCATCCAGTTAATTTTTCTTTGTTTGCTTATTTGTGAAATCACATTAATTTCCCAAGATCTCGATAAAGCACAAACAATAAAAATTTCCTTTGTAAGTGTTGAAAACCTCAACTACTAGTAGAAAGAGGCTAAGAAAGCTAAGTGTATATTTAAAAATTAAACCACTAAGTGAGCCTTTCTCTTTGCTTGTTTTTAAGAATGAATGGTAGTCACTTTAAGGATGAAAAGGCTTTGGTGACTGGTCAAAATTCAGATTTATTGGATGATGAAGAAGTAGAAGATGAGGTGTTGTTAGATGAGGAGGATGAAGACAATGATATTACTGGAAAAACCGGAAAGGAAGCAATGACAAGTAATCTACATGAAGGAAACCCCGAGGACGACTATGATGAAGCCAGTGCCCTGGAGATGAGTTGCAAGACGTCTCCGATGAGGTGAGAGCCTTGGTGACTTTACATGCTAAGCAAGAGTAGACCTTCATATCATTGTGATTCCTCCTGCTCTGCTTTCTAAATAGAACAATATTTCAGATGATGAGGAATTTGTAAGAAGTCATAAAATTTAAATTTTAATTAGCAGGGCACACACAGGGCATCTGTTTTGTATAAAGGAAAATAAGGTGGCCAGTAATGTAATCCACAAGCCTATAAGTACACTAATGTTTGTGGGACTGATTAACCTGAGGCAGAAAGGATAAATGGAAGTACACAACCATTTTAACTTTAGAATTTACTTCTGAAACTCAAAGGAAAATTGAGATATCAAAATGACCCAATTCATTCAATAATCTATCAAATATTATTAAGAAAAACTTTGCTTCATTAGATTATCTATGCAGTTGACATAGGTGATACATTTTTAAATGGAAAAAATAACCAAATAGTTAAACTGACGTGTGAATGATATTTTCGTGAGGATGATGTGTGCTGACTGAATAGTTTCATGACTAGCTTTACTTTAAATGGAAATTTTAAATGTATGAGTTCTGTCTCCACACATTGCTGATTTAAGGCGTCATTGACTTTAATTTCAAAAATATGCTTGATCTTAGTCATTTTAATATATGATACTTGTACATATTTTAAAGAACCTAAAAATTGGTGTATGCTGCTTCACACAGCAAATACGATATGAAGTTCAGCAGCTGTTGAGATTCAAATGAAAGCAATTTGGTTAGGTAACAAACAGAAAAAGAAAAAAAAATCTTCTGTGCTTTCCCATTGGTTCATTTTAGGTACAAAGAGGACGAATATAAGTCTGGACTTTCTGCTCTAGATCATATAAGGCACTTCACAGATAGCCTCAAAATGAGGAAAATGGAAGGCAACCAACACACTGACGCCGAGCTGTCTTCTTTTAGTACTTCCCATGTTCCAGAGGAACTTAAACAGCCGCTACACAGAAAGTCCAAGTCACAGGTACATATTTTCCTGCACTACAGAATCATGGTGACATTATGAATGAGAATGTACATTCTTTGATTAACAAAAGCAGGTATTCCATAGTTTGCAATATTTTAGAATACAAGCAGGTTTAGATGCTTTTCCCACAATGTTCCTGTCTTTATTCTGCCTATTGCCCAACCCAAAAGAGTTAACCAAAAGAGCGATTTATAGTGCTGCATTCTGCACAGAGGCATCTGTGACGAATCTTATCCTACAAGCAACCTCTCCTTAGCCTTGCAATGTCCTTATTCCAGTGTAGTCTGCAAGGTTTGTTTTCAAATATTTATATATTGGCTCAGAATTATTTTCTAATTGTGTTTTAGATAATTTTTGTCAACCTAATTGTTTAAAGATTTTTGGAAAGCAAATTTTTTTTTGCTGTATCTTGTGAATTTTTATGGGTGATTCATTAGTAATTCATCAAATTATAGAATATAAGAGTAAATGCAAGGTCAGAAATGAATTGTTGACATTAGCAATGATAATAATGTCTCAATTACCATGGGGAAAATATGTCAGTGGGGTAATACAAATCTTTAAATATCCTTCAAGTCAATAAAAAGTCTAAGATATTATTTATGGTAGGTGAGAGGCAAGCTTAATGGTCTTTCTGAATTGCAGTAAGGCAGCCAACCTGGACAGTATAGGCTCCTGCAGCCTGGTTCCACTTGCTTGAAAACATGGCTTAAAGGCTGTCGGTGGCCATTTCCTCATTGCAAACATGGGAGGGGGAAGGTAGCTCTTTCCTTTCTATGACTCAATGAAGATAAAGATGAATTTTTCAGTTTTTCATATCAAAGGTATACTAGCCAGAATACACATCTCTTTTTCACTTAGATCCATCTGTAAGAAGTGGCTACTATTTTTTTAATCCTTTACTTCCCTTTCTTCCTTTCTAGCTGATCAGAGATATCTGAGGGATCCATGTTTTCTCTTTTTAAATTTCTTTTAGTTATTCCACCAAAAATACTTTTTCATTGTGACACACAATATCTAAAAGCTCCAGAAACTGATAGACAGCCAAAGGGCCCGAGAACCTAGAGATAATAGGTATGATACTTATTTCAGTATCAGTATTTTGACATGAAGTCCCTGCCTGGCCAGTCTAACAATAAGTAGCAGAATACTAGCATTTTGTAATCCTCACTCAGATTATTCTTGTTACATGATTATGTTATAATTTCAGTGTGCAAACCGACTGTACCAAGAGACTCTTCCTTCATGCATTCATTCAGTGTTTTACTGTTGTTTATGTGCTGCCACTGATTCTTTGGTATGGTATGGTTTTTGCTTACCACAAGGCAAATATTTTATATTTGCCATTCTCTAGGGGATGTAGGCTCAGATAATTTATTCAAAACATTTTTATATTTACTCTGTGATTTTTATAGTGATCAAATCCAAAACCATTGACCAGTATAACAGCATCTTTGTTCTGCAGGGACTCTTCTGTATAAAGCCCTATTCTACAAAAATTAACTTCATGAGGCTAGGTACAATTTATATGAGTCACACTGAGTTAAACACGTCCCATAAGTTGGTGTCTGTGATTCCTCCACAACTCTTGGAAGCAAGTACTATTTATTGTTATCCCTATTTCATATGAGGAAAGTAAAATTTAAGAGGTAAATCAACTTGCCCATGGTCACATAGCTAAGGTGATAGGACTCACATGCAGGATTTTAACTTCCTTTAATCTTTACAAATATTGGAATGAGTTTTGTTAAAACTGCTTCACAATATCCTTTATTTTTTGATTGCTAAAAGTGGGTACATAATCTGAATACATAATTTAAATTTGATACTCACTTAATCCTTAGTTTAAATACTATAAAGGACCTTGATTCCCTAGGACCTAGCATAGCATCTGGGATAGAATATATGCTTAAGAAATATTTGGTAAGTGGATACTGAGATTTTGCACAGGTCCAGAAGACAAACTGCATACATAAAAGTCAAATGTGTACTTTTGGAGCAGTGACCCAGCAAATCAAAATCAGCCTGTAAGGGCAGATTTTCTAACCAAATGCCACGATGACGGAAGAAACCACAGACTAGCCACATGTCTCAGCCTGACTCTCAGAGATGAAATTCTGCCTAACAACAGAGGCATTTTGTCTTTGTTTACAGACAGTGGAATGTCTTTGGCAAGACTTTAATGATTCCACTTCAGCAGCATTTTGACAAGCAAGTTTAGCATGGATGAGACCAACAATAGCAAATCAACAGTGAAAAGTTCACTCGTAGTCAAGGCCAAACATTCATTTGAATATTTTATTTGGCAGTGGGAGGGGGCTTCTCTGAACAGTTATTTCAGAATTGACATAATAGGGAAGAAAGAGTACTTCCTTACAGAGCACCTTCTGCTCCAGGACCCTAGAGCACATGTTGCATAGGACGTCATTGAGTCTTGCACTTTATTTCTTGGTACAACTGATTTGATCACTTCAATTCTCAAGGTCTGTGGATATCAGCAGTGGATAGCTCAAGTATGGAGGAGAATTTGAGAAAGAACACTGGATTCGAAGTTAGTTGACCATGGGGAGGTCATTTCACCTTCAGTGTTCTCAGCAAAAAAGTACAGGAGTCAGACTATTTTCTTCAATAGCCACAGCTCTGTCAAGACAGGCCTGTATCCTATTAATATTTGCAGCTTCAGTTATAAGCACACAATGATATTTTTGTTGAGTTGAACATATGTGTGATGAATGAATTTACTTAGGGTTGGGCAGAATGACTCATGTTTCTCTATTGGAAGCACTAGTGATATTTTAAGTCAGATCATAAATTTTTCGTTTTGTAAGGCATGTCACTTTTGTGGCTTCTGGACAATGAAAGCCATCTCATTTCAACAAAAACAAAATATGCCCCTTTACCAAACACACCATGAAGAATGCGCCTATTCTGGGTCCCATCTCTTTACAACCTTCACCGACAATGTTTATCAATTTAAAGTTGCTATTTTTCAAATGCCATTTACTGACTTTTTCCTTTTCACCCAGGCATATGCTATGATGTTGTCATTGTCTGACAAGGAGTCCCTCCATTCTACATCCCACAGTTCTTCCAATGTGTGGCACAGTATGGCAAGGGCCGCGGCTGAATCCAGTGCTATCCAGTCCATTAGCCATGTATGACGTCACCAAGGTTGATCAGAGTGGGACCAAGTCCAAGAGTAGCATGGCTCTTCCACATAGGACTATTTACAAGACTGCTGAGCAGAATGCCTTATAAACCTGAAGGGTCACTCATTTAAAGTCTGGTGACCTTAAACTGAATGATTAAAGAAAAGGAAAGAAAGAAAGAAAAAGGAAACTATTTATTCTCGATATTTTGTTTTGCACAGCAAAGGCAGCTGCTGACTTCTGGAGGATCAATTTGACTCAAATGATTCAATGGAAATGAAAAACTTGCTGGGCAGAAGGCATCTTCCAGTTCACCCTGCCCTAGGGTGTGGGGGTGAGAGGGGCAGTTGAGATGGCAGCATTGATATGAATGAACGCTCCATAGAAACCGAATCCTTATTTGTACAAGGTCACCTGACATGATTGGGAACAGTTGCTTTTAATTGCAGGTCTAATTTTTTTGTTAAAGTTTTATGTAATTTAACCCTTTGAAGATGGAAGTAGTTGGATGAAATGCACAGTGAATTATTATATAAACTGATAACAGGGAGCACTTGTTCCCCCTTAACATTTGCCTTCTTAAGTACATTGTTTAAAACTAGGGAAAAAGGGTGTGTGTATATTGTAAACTATGGATGTTCACGCTCAGAAGGTTAGTCAGTGAGGTAACCTGTCCATCACCCAGTACCACTGTACCACTAATAAAATGTTTGCCAAATCCTTGTAATAACATCTTAATTTTAGACAATCATGTCACTGTTTTTTAATGTTTAAATTTTTTTGTGTGTGTTGTGTGTATCATGTATTTATTTGTTGGCAAACTATTGTTTGTTGATTAAAATCGCACTGTTCCAGTCAGCCACTATTTTATGACATCTGAGGCACACCCCTTTCTGAATTTCAAGGACCAAGGTGACTCGACCTGTGTATGGGAGTGCCAGATGGTGTTTGGCTTTTCTTAACATTCCTTTTTTCTTGTTGTTGTTTTGTTTTCCTTCTTAATGAGCTAAATACAAATAGATGCAACTTAGTTTTTGTAATACTGAAATCGATTCAATTGTATAAACGATTATAATTTCTTTCATGGAAGCATGATTCTTCTGATTAAAAACTGTACCCCATATTTTATGCTGGTCGTCTGCAAGCTTGTGCGATGTTATGTTCATGTTAATCCTATTTGTGAAATGAAGTGTTCCCAACCTTATGTTAAAAAGAGAAAAGTAAATGACAGACTGTATTCAGTTATTTTTCCCTTTATTGAGGAACCAGATTTGTTTTCTTTTTGTTTGTAATCTCATTTTGAAATAATCGGCAAGTTGAGGTACTTTCTTCAAATGCTTTGTACAATATAAACTGTTATGCCTTTCAGTGCATTACTATGGGAGGAGCAACTAAAAATAAAGACTTTCAAAAATGATGAATCCCTCTGCTCCGTCTGGTATTTTCCCTTCTCCTGCAATTTTAGTTTCCCTTTGGGATTCAAATGATTTAGAGATACAGTATTTGAGAACTGATGCCCTCACAGATGCCAGAAATGATTACCCTTGGATCACAATGAGTCCTGCTCCTTGTTCTGAATTTTCTCTGGTGCAAAGTAAAGGTCCATGTGAACTTGTACCCAGTCCTGGGATCCCTCTATGAACACAACACCCATCTTAATTAAGACAGAAAGCAGCTTACAGTTTTTCTACTGGATTTTACAGAGTATGCTACAAGGAGCTTTCATATTTTCATTCCTTTTGTTTTAATTGGTGGTTCTGGGGATGGAACCCAAGACCTTGCACATGTTAGGTAAGTACTCTACCATTAAACTACATCCCCAGCCTTATTTTTGCTTCTAATTAATTCTACAAATACTGTTATTTAATTCACAAACAAGGAAAAAAACTCCTTCAACTTTCTTATGTTCCTTTTAAGGTCAATATACAAAAATCCTTTCTTTGTAGTTGTAATCAGAGAGTAAACATGGTTTTCTTTTTTTACTTACGGCCAATACATGCATGCACACGCGCGCGCGCGCGCACACACACGTTATTGCGTAATGCTACAGATTCTTCAAAAGCAAGAATTTAGCAGTTTGATCTATAATTTTTTAAAAGAATTTCATTTTTGTTGGAAATTTAGGTTACCTTCTGTTTATCACCAGTAAGATCAGAGGGCATTACAATTTTCATCATATATAATTATTTCTGGATGTTCATGAATGTATATATAGAATTGGAATATAATGAATATTACTTCTAGGGATAAATTCTCTGGTGGAGGAGTAATTATGAATTTTTTGCTCTTTAAATATTAATGCAAAGTTGTTTTAGGCTAGGGTTATTCTAATCTTGACCAACTGTCTTTATTTTATTTAACAAGTCCTGAAGAATATGTAAGTATGCCGTGTGGAAATATATCCAGACTAATTTCTCCATTCATTTTTTCTGTTCATTCTTTACCATAATGTCAGATAGTGAATCTTCTTACATCATTTCTAAGTATTTATAGTACAGGAATTAAAAATAGGGGGTACATGTATTGATGTTTTTAATAGAAAGTATACACAGGAAGAAGTATTCAGGAAATAGACTTACGCTATAAATAACTAAGGAAAAAGAAAAAGAATCCAGTTTTTGGGACATAAGAATAACACATTCGAGAATGTGGAGATGTGGAATGTGTTATACACTTTTCTGTTGAAAGAACACACCTACAAATTGTGAAGCAATTCAGGTACTCCTAATGCTACCCAGTCTTGGTTAGACTTTGACCATGACATTTCAGTTGTTGATGCTTATTCCTCCAAATTCCAAAAAGGCTTTCAAGCCTTACATTTCTGCTTTTTCTTTTTCCACTCATTTCGCCAGCCGCACACCACAAGTCTCTGGGGGAAGGCAGTGAGACATCTGGGAGACAGTCTTAGACTTGGAAACCAAAGGCCTGGGTTTGAGTTCTGCCTCTATTATTTATTGGCTTCACAGTCTTGGTGAAGTCCTACATTTCATCTGTGAAACTGGGATATAATATTGTTTCTGATACAGTGTTGGGTTTAGGGATGTGAATCAGTGCTAGAGCACTTGCCTAGCATACATGAGGCCTTGAGTTCCATCCCCAACACTGCAAAACAAACTAACAAAACAAAAGTTTCTGAAAATATTTGGGAAAGGTTCTAAAGTGATGTAATAGAACATGTGGACATGAGTATATACACTCACGTACATGAACACTGCTGAGAAGTAAGTTTTCTAGCATAAAGAAATCAATTCTAGACTATGCAAAGGTGGATATTGAGGTTTCCTACAAAAAAGTAGAAATGTTTTTCTTTATTTTTCTTTCCCTCCCTCTCCCCCTTCCTTTCTTCCTTCCTTCCCTTCTTTCTTTCTGTGCTGAGGGTTAAACCCTGGGCCTCACACACTAAGCATGGGTTCTACCACTGGAAGAAATGTTTCTTTTTAAAAATAGAGGTTTAAAATAAAGCTTATCCCTTTGAAAACACGAAATTCAATACAATGGCTTTTCTGTAATTGACAAATAACATTTGTAATACATTTATGGGCACAGCATATTTTTATATAAGTATACATTGTTGAATGGCTAAATCAAACCAACATATGCATAACATCACATACTTTTTGGTAAAAGCATGAGCTATCCACTCTCTTAGCAAATTTCACATATCTTATATACTTTTATTAACCACAGTCACTGTGATGAATCTCAGACCTCTTGCTGTTTTTTCCAATATGATTTTTGCAAGCTCTCAAAAAATTCAAGAAAAATTAAGAAAACACATTAAAAGAGTAAGCACATTCATAATTTTATTTACATATAAGGACAATCTATCAATATTATTTCTGTATACAACAAATAAAATGAGTTTTTCCTGTAAGTGCTCATTTTTATCAATAACATGCTAAAGCCAGGCATCGTAGAGAAAGCCTGTAATTCTAACTTTTGGTAGGCTGAGGCAAGAGGATCACGAGTTCCATACATAGCCAGACCATGTCTCAACAATGACAAAAACTCATGCTGAAAATGTGTATATCCATTGTTTATTAATCTTCACAATAGGCTTATAGTCGGGCAGCTTTATTCCTGTTTCACAGATGAGGAAACTGGAGAGCAGAGAGTTTAAGAACTTTGCTCAGAGAAACCCAGCTGGAACTGGCTGGCTGAGCATGGAGGGCGGGACACACTTATTGTCTCAGACCTCCTGGTTTAGGTAAAGCTGAAAAGAAGCCAAAAAAAGCCAAACCTAGGAAATGTGCCTTCTTCCACGCAGAGTAAAGTTGTCAGAACGATGTGAATGTGTCCAGGAGACATTCAGGCGTCTGAGTCTTGGCTATGAAGAGTTTGACAGGCGAGTGCCAAGGACTGGTTCCCAGGTTTTTAAAATTCAGGATATCTCAGGTCAACAATATGAGTGCTTTTGAAAGATCTGAAATGTTTCCTTAATTAGGGCCTTAGTCACCTTGTCTGTAAATTCTTTGCAGGTAGCTTGAGTTTCCTCCTTATCCTTTTTGAAAAAGAAAGATTTACTCCAAACCTACATCTGACATCAACATGGCATGACTTAAGTCCTCTCTGAAATGGTTAGCAGACTCATCGTGAGAGAGAGGAAGTAGGAAAGCAAGTCCAGTTAAGATGTGTACTTATTTCATTCTGTGCAGGCTAAAAGGAATCTTGAATGGAAGGAATTCAGGGAGGAGTGGGAAGAGTACAAAAAGAAACTTAGTAAACAGATTGGGCCCAGGAGCCCTGAAGAGAGCCCTGAATCTACTCCAAGAGACTTGGGCTAGGATTTAATTATTCATTATTTTTGCATAGCCATTTTAAATATAAGAGACTGACCTTGATGCAGCAAATGTATAAATTTTAAAAAGGAAAAGAAGCACCTTACATCCAGTAGGATGTAGAGTGACTATTCCAAAAAACTAAAATAACAATTGTTGGCAGGAACATGCAGAAACCGGAATTCTTGTGTTCTGTTGGTAAGAACGTAAGGTTCAGCTAGGGAAAACAGTATGGCAGTTCCTTAAAATATGATTCCACTTCTGGGTATACCCAAAAGAACTAAAATCAAGGTATCTAAAAGAGATTTATACACCCATTTTCATAGCGGTATTATTTGCAATAATACTGGAACAACCCATGTGGCCATCAATAGATGAAT